GGGGGGGGGGTTCCACTTAATTCTGTCAAGATACGTGACGCAAGTGGCCAACATGCACATTTTAATTTACGATTACATCTATTCAGAGAGAGGTGTCGCGTGTTTCACCCCATGTGAGTGTTGTGGGCGGGCAGCAGGTGGTTTGTCTTCATTATTTATTTTTCTTTCTTCCCAGCTGACGGATCCTTAACCTCGCCTCCTCTCACGCAGAGTTCCCCGGTGCTGCTCCCTGCCGGAGGCTTCACCAGCCGCTGCAAAAACGTGATGGTATGCTAACGTGGAGTGTGTGGGCAACACCACTTCATTATCAGCTTTCTCGACGTAGAGAGAAGGCGTCCACTCCGTGGACAGAGAGGAGCTTCTTCCTTTCAGGTGCGTGTAACTTTTTTGAAAATTGACACACGAGAGCTTCTTTCGGAAATGAAAGTTTTCATCTTTGCTTCGCAGCTTCTTCAAGGAAGGACCACGCTGAAGACCTTCACTGCCAGACCCATGACCGCCTGCACCACGAGGGTATCTATCCACCCATTTATTCAAGCTAAGTACTGTATCTATACAGTATATACTGTATGGCTGGCTGACTACAACAGAGTGTATCTAGCTCGCCATACGTCCATATTCATATCTGTCTGCTTGACTACAGTACAAGCAAATGTATTTTTGTCCAACCAACCGTTCGTCAATTCATCAGCCTATAACCATAAGCCAACCAGAATGCAATCAATCTGTCCATCCATCCACCCAGCCACCCATCCATCCATCCATCCATCCATCCATCCATCCATCCATCCATCCTATAAATGGAACGTTCTAAATTGTCCCGAGATGTGGTTGTCAGTGTGAATAGTTGTTTGTCTGGGTATGTCCTGCGATTGGCTGGCAACCAGTTCAGGGTGTACCCCGCCTATTGCCCGCCTATTGCTCCAGCAACCCCCGCCTCCCCCCCAGTGACCCTCAGTGAGGTTAAGCAGCTCAAATAATGGTTGGATGCTTATTATCTTTTGAACCTCGGTGAACAAAGTTGGCCAATTTCATTCTGTAATTCTACTATTAGATTCACTTCCTGTCATGTCAAGGAGATATTGAGAACAGAACAGAAAGGATAGAAGTGGATCATTGGCCTTTTGTAGACTTGAACTTGCACTCTAATTAGCGTGTGGTCAGTGTGTGTGTGTGTGTGTGTGTGTGTGTGTGTGTGTGTGTGTGTGTGTGTGTGTGTGTGTGTGTGTGTGTGTGTGTGGACGGAGGTATAAAAAGGTCAGAACATGTGAGAGGCTTTTTATGTCTTTCTGCTCATGAGGGCAGAACAGCACAGCACTCTCCATCATTGGATGCCTCACCTCTGGACACACACACACACACACACACACACACACACACACACACACACACACACACACACACACACGCACGCGCGCTGGAGTCAGGGTCACACCTAGATGGGACTGTTTCAACACGCTAAATCATGAGCGGTGAGTTTTGACTTTTCAGTCTATGAGGAGATGTATGTTTTTCACTGGTAAAAATGCTAACACAGCAAGCCAGCTAATTACAAGCTAAGTGAAAGTAAGCTAAGTAAGTGGATATGTTGTAGGCAAAAATGTGCGACAGAAGCTTGGCATCCTAGAATGTTTTGACAAGGTGGTCCAAATTAATTTTCTCTCGAGGTGTGAAATGCTGCACATTCTCCTTCTCGCAGCAGAAGCAGCAGTATTGCAGGATACAATTTCAGAGGAAGATTTTGATCATGTGATTACACTGTGATTGAGCTGTAGATATTTGCTATTTCATTCATGTTTTCTTTGGTGTTTTATTTGTATCTATTTATATTCCGACACAAGTTACAACTACATGTTGGAGAGATGCTAGTCTGATGAGAGAGAGAAAGAGAGCGAGAGAGAAAATAATGACACATTTCAATAAAAATCTATGCCTAAATGAACTTGAGCTAAACATTTATCTCGTTACAGTAACAGTCACTTTATCAGCACAAGTTGGGAACCGAAACAGTAGTTATTCTGATTTATGACACAAATGCTAAAAGTTGCCTGTCAAAAAAAAAGAAGCAGGACGTACGGTGGCTTTTAAGGGTCTAAAAAAGTTTTATCGCGGTGACATTAAAATCTCATATACGATAGATCTCATACCGTTGGGGGTAATAAATGAAGATATAGAAGAGGAGGCTGCAACAAAAGGTACAAGGAAAACTGATATCGACTCCGCCTGGTCTTTAGTTGACCATATAAGTTTGTTTGTTGAGGCCGATTGACAGGAAACGTTGTAACCTACTTAGATAAGACGGCTTGAAATCAACCGCCACGCGCGCACCCGCCGCCGCTTTGTATTACTCCACACAACGCAAAACGGTAAGGCTATGGAAATGTCTCATACTTTCTTTGACATCCTTTTTTTTGATGTTGTACAAAGTTCTTTCTATTGATCGAAATGTTTGCTGGGTTAAAAAAAATAAATAAAAAAATAAACTGTAGTTACATCATCTCTAAGATGTTTTTAATGCATTTATTTCCACTTTTTGGTCAAGAGATTTTATCAATCATTCAAAATTGTGACTTTACGAAAAAATATTAATGACATTGTCCGAAGGGGATTTATTTAACAATGTTTACTATTGTGGTCATAGATGACAGTGAGAGCAAGCTGTTACTAATGTCTTGCCCCTTCCGTTATGTATTTCAGTACAATACTCAAAATATCAGAAACAACTCCCGGTGTAGTGCAATATCAACAACAATGACGGTAATAAACATATGAATAAATCCTTGACAAAATAGAGAATACAAATTTGCCCCCCCCCCATGAGATTGGCATTGTTTTGGTGTTTTATGTTGTTGTTTACTATTTTTATGTGATCGATTCATCGCTTTAACTTGTCTTTGTCTGTCAGATTTTATTCCGTTTGCCGTACAGCACTTTGAAAGCAGCAATGGTTGTTTTTAAACTACTCTATAAATAAAGTTCGTTTTTGTAAAATAGGAATTGTTGACACAGCTCTGGGTGTCATAAACTTGTCTGGGTGTGAAGTGCAGATTGAGTGCAAACAGTGGATATCAAAAGTCTACACACCCCCGGTCCAAATGCCATGTTTGAGATTTAAAAAAAAAAAAATCACCATTATTGTAACCAATAACGTGTCTCATTTGGATTAAAAAAAAAAAGAGGGGACATAAAAATAAACAATTGAAGTCATGTGAATAATGTATTTGCACAAATGTTATGCACCCACTTTTCACTGGGATGTGGATGCATTCAGATTTACTGATTTTTAAATGTTCATGTTGGCTTTTCCTGTCATTGTTTTGATAGTCTGAACATGATTGGTTGTACACAGCACCATCCCAGTTATAAAAGTGTGTGCACAGTTGTGCAATCACATTATCAGTTACTTCACCTCTTGAAAAAAAAGAATTGCAATTGAGTTCTACAAATAAAAGGTCACCTTCATGCTGGCAAAGGTGTGATGTTTAATTTCCCGCTCAATCATATCCTCTTTATCCAGTTTCACACGAGACCTGCCTCCTGGACCAGGTTCTAGAGCTGATTATGAGCGAGAAGCCCCCGCCGACCAGCATTAGTCTTTTCCTGAACGAGGACGCGGACAAAGCCGCCGCGCCCGAGCCATCAGACTTGAAAAGACGAATTTGTGCGGCCATGGAGAGGAGAGCGAGCATCATGAAGGAGAAAATAAGCTCCGTCAGCAAGGAGAGCATCAAAGACTTCCTTAAAAGAAATCTTTTTGTTTTATTCACCGTTGCTGCTGTGGCTCTGGGTAAGTGTGCTTGTCTTATTTTATCTTAATTACTGTACATAAGTCGATTTTTTTTTTTTTAGGTACTCTCCTTGACTTTTTTTTTTCCTGACAACTTTTTACTTTGACTTCCTGCATTTCAAAACAAATCCACACTGTCCACTCCTTACTTTGTGAAAATAGGTCTTCTTTATAACCTTTGCAGATGCCGACAGGGTGAGTCATTTATTCTTTTATGTGCTGTGTAACTTTGTCGGTGTGCCGCTCTCTTCAGGCATCGTCTTGGGCTTCGCTCTGCGCTCCCATAACTTGTCCTTGAGAGAGATCAAGTACTTTTCCTTTCCTGGGGAGCTGCTGATGAGGATGCTCAAGATGCTGGTGCTGCCTCTGATCATCTCCAGCCTCGTCACAGGTGCATTTTGAAAACTCTCATGACAGGTTGAAACATTCCCCAAGTGCCTTCATGCTGATTGAGTGTCGATCAGGTAGCATTCCCCAACCTTTTTTGTGGCAAGGACAGGTTCATGTAAAGTGATATTTTGGCGTTCAAAAAATATAAATATGATGTGAACTAAAGCGTAAATTATCAACGGGTGTGAATGTGAGTTTGTGTGGTTGTTTATCTATATGTGGTTGGCGAATGACTGGCGACTATTTCAGGGTGTACTCTGCCTCTCGCGCAATTTCTGCTCCGATACGCTCCAGCTCACCCGTGAACCTATTGAGGACAAGCGATTAAAAAAAAGATGAATGGATGGATGATTGCAATTGATGACTTATAAAGCCTCTTTAATTGGACTTTTTTTGGTGAATCGAGTCCTTTCCATTATTTAAAATATGGTGCGGCGTCCCGGTGGTCCTGTGGTTAGCATGTCAACCTCACAGTGCAGAGGTGAAGGGTTCGATTCTGGCTCCGGCCTTCCTGTGTGGAGTTTGCATGTTCTCCCCGGGCCTGCGTGGGTTTTCTCCGGTTTCCTCCCACATTCCAAAAACATGCATGGCAGGCTGATTGAACACTCTAAATTGTCCCTAGGTGTGAGTGTGAGCTCGGATGGTTGTTTGTCTCTGTGTGCCCTGCGATTGGCTGGCAACTGGTTCAGGGTGTCCCTCACCTACTGCCCGAAGACAGCTGCGATAGGCTCCAGAACCCCTGCGACCCTTGTGAGGATCAAGCGGATCGGAAAATGGATGGATGAAAAATATGGTGCGGTCTAGTACATGAATGGGCAACTTAAATGCCTTTTTTTCTGGGATTTTCCCCTCCCATTTACCTCCTGTATTTTGTGGAAAATTAAATGCACTTATTATCAAACCAGAAATGCAAATGCATGACTAATTACAACACACCAATGTTAACACTTTGGAGTACTTACAGGTCGATTTAATGTTTTATGTGTCATGCTAAATTCAGTCTATACGGGAGCATATTTAACAGTAGTAATATACTCTGTTGCAGGAATGTCCTCCTTGGACAGCAAAGCGACCGGTAAAATGGGCGTGCGTGCTGTGGTCTACTATATGGTGACCACCCTGATCGCTGTCTTCATCGGCATCGTCACTGTGATTATCATCAAGCCCGGTAAAGGCAGCAGGGACAGCCCTGTAGCCAAGAGCAGAAATGTGGAAATGATCCAGGCTACAGATGCCTTTTTGGACCTCATCAGGTAATCCAGCATCATTCTCTCATGTTCATAGAATCATCTCTTATAGTTCAAGTCGATTATACAGTACAGTGGCGTCCTGAGATACAAGTGACTCAATTTGTGAGATTTTCGAGGGACAAGCTGTTGTTGGGCCATTTTTTTTACTCTGACTTGTGAGACAAATTACAAAACAAACTAAACGAAACGATGCGAAACGTCATCATCGGGCTACGATTATCATCAGCGGTCCAGTGTTAGAGCGGGAACGATGTTTGAAAGCAAACAGTTGAGTAACACGTGTAGGCGAATAATATAAAAATACTCACGGGCATATGTTATTTATCCTATGCAAACAATGACCTAATATTACTGCAGCTTACTGAGGCGATGAGATGCTCCCATTAGGCCATATGGCTGTGTTATACTGCCCCCAGATGGCCAAAGTGCACACACCAAAACGAGCAACACAACTTCTATTGAATTGAAACAAAAATGATGGCAAAAACGTTTTTATTCTTTCCATTCTATCTAATTGTGTCATTGCTGTATGTTTTTATTAAGTACAATATTACAGAGTGCCATTTCTCCCTCTCTCTCTCTCTCTCTCTCTCTCTATATATATATATATATATATACAGTATATATGCAGCTGTTAAGTCAGTATACATTTTCATGAATATCGTTTGTGTTTTCCCCTTGCAAATTTATTCGGTGTTATACCACAGAGAAATGTATCGCAAAAAAAAAAAAAAAATCATTCGTTCCATTTCTTCACAGGAACATGTTTCCACCCAATCTTGTCGAAGCTTGTTTCAAGCAGGTAAGAGGGTACTGTACTTCTGAATTCAAATGAGATGAACTTGAAATTTTTTTCTGAACAAACCTTTCTGTACAAGCTCACTTCCATTGAAGTTGGGACGTTGTGTTAAACACAAGTAAAAACAGAAGACAATGATTTGCAAATCACGTTCAACCTATATTTCATTGAATCCCGCCTTAAAACAATAAAAACAGGAGATTTATAGTCAGCATTGCTCGGTTGTCACGTTTCAGTACAAAACCATGTACAAGAGGATTGTGCAAACGAGGAACGTGACGGAGAACCTGAACCTCACTGACAATGCGATCAATACGACGGACGCCAACGTGAACCTCAGCAGGGTGCTCCACACCATCCAGGTGAGTGAGCCCATGCGACCCCGCCCAACATGCCCACTGCATAACCCTGACAGTGATATCCTCCACCATACACACACAGGAGACATTGGAGGAGACGGTACCCATGTCGGGCTCTTCTGATGGTGTCAACGCTCTGGGTCTGGTCTTCTTCTCCATGTGCTTCGGTCTGGTCATCGGCAACATGAAGCTGAAGGGTCAGGCCCTCAGGGACTTCTTTGACTGCCTCAATGAAGCCATCATGAGGCTGGTGGCCATTATCATTTGGTCAGCGCACACACACACACACACACACACACACACACACGAAGTGGAGCACCTCATCCACTTTGTACTTATGTATGTCTGGCAGGTATGCCCCGGTGGGCATCCTCTTCCTGATAGCGGGCAAGATTGTAGAGATGAAGGATTTGGCAGAGATGGGTGGCCAGCTTGCGATGTACACCATGTCGGTCATCGTGGGCCTCCTCATCCACGGGCTCTTCGTGCTGCCGCTGCTCTACTTCCTGGTGACCAGGAAGAACCCTTACAGCTTCATCGGCGGTCTGCTGCAGGCGCTCATCACCGCTCTGGGAACCTCTTCCAGGTGACTCGCGATCAAATGTTCCGTAATTTTGGGCGCACTTGCACAGTCCAATTCGATCCAATACAGAAATGTCAGAAAAATCTGCCTCTATGAAGACGAACAATTTTTGATACACCCACAACACTGGAAGAGTTTGACATAAAGCACTTTACATAGTGAGGTAAATAGCACTGATGTCGCCTTTCAATACTGTCGTGGTTGTAGTTTGCTGTCCTGGAGATGTGTATTAGATCATAGTAACTTGTTTATCGTCTCACATAGGCAACAGTTAAATAAGATTGCATCATACACCAAACGTTCAATAAAGGGAACTGAAGTTGTGGTTCCATCTTCCACCTTTTCATTTGACAGCTCTGCTACTCTGCCTATCACTTTTCGCTGCCTGGAGGAAAACAACCGTGTGGACAAACGGGTGACCCGCTTTGTTCTCCCCGTGGGCGCCACCATCAACATGGACGGCACCGCCCTCTACGAGGCCGTGGCGGCCATTTTTATCGCCCAAGTCAATGACATGGACCTGAACTTTGGCCAGATTCTCACAATCAGGTAACATTTACAAAGACCTCCAGTACAGAATGAAAAGTGACTTTTTAATAGCTTGTATGCACAAATTTGTTTCTGCCTAACCGTCAAGTGTGGAGTTATACAACCAAATTATTTACTTGTGAGCTTCCTATAACGCCAATAGATGTTTTTCACAAAAAACTGACACCCCCGCACACCCCCAAAAATATTTTTTTAATTTTGAAAAAAATCCACAAATAAATGAATATGCAGGTGCTGAACCGCAAGTACACGGGTCTCCAATGTGATGTCATTTTCTCTCACTAACCCCAACGGAATGACAGCAACCCTGAAACAAACATGTCTCCGCTCCTTCTGTATCCCCCCCGCCCCGCCACCCACTCAGTATCACGGCAACCGCTGCCAGCATCGGAGCAGCAGGCATCCCTCAAGCTGGCCTTGTTACCATGGTGATTGTATTGACATCGGTGGGACTGCCCACAGAGGACATAACACTCATCATCGCCGTGGATTGGTTCCTGTGAGTTGCCCGCTAAATGTCACCATGATGGGTGATTGGTCGGGCTTTTCTGCTTAAATGTCATTGTGATTCCCCATGAGGTGTCACCATGAAACATTTATTTTCAGAGACACATCTCGTGGTAAATTTCTGTCACTGTGCTGATACTGTGTGTGTGTTCATCACCCCAGGGACCGGTTGCGTACCACCACCAATGTGCTGGGTGACTCCCTCGGGGCGGGCATCTTGGAACACCTCTCTCGTGACGAATTGCAGAATCGGGACGAAGAGGTGCGCAACTCCGTCATCGAGGAAAACGAGAAGCCTTACCATCTTATCTGCCAGGACAATGACATCATGCGCAACCACAACAGCGACACCACAATGTGACCACTGAAAGCTGGCACCCGGCAATGTCTAAATAATGAATAATTATGTAGGCTGCATATCATTCCAATTACTCATCCATCGGCAATTTGCTAAACGGCAGAAACAATAAGTCATCTTTGTGACGCACTACACATCTGAAATCGAACTTTAACTACCTGACTAGCAGGTGCAGCACCCAGGGATTCTTGCGGGGGTGTCACATAAGACATGTTTGTGAATCTAGTCTTCGCTAGGCATAAATAAGCTTCTTGTTTTGGTATCTTGGGGGCAGAGTGCTGCGCTGCCCCACAGAGAAGAGAAAGGACAGAGCAAAGCGGTAGGGTCAAAGGCTCACGCAAAAGCATACACACGCAAAATATGTATTAGGAGGAAGGCTACACTGAAAAGATAAAAAATAGTCAAATTAGGTCAGAAGCTTCGAAAAATGATGTCACTTGTAATACGAAAAAGTTCCGTAAAAAAGGTGCAATATTACAACACAGAAAATTGCAATAAAAATAGTCAAATTGTTGTGGATGTGCGAAAAAAAAAATTATGAGCCTCATAAAGTATTACAGTGTAACTTAACAAGGATACATTTGTAATCATAATTTGTTTTGACGTATTACATTTTTACTCTGACAAAAATACGGCTTTATTCTCCCAATTGTATCAATTTTCCAATTGAATCTGTAAGAAACCAGCATTCTCCACAATTTCAGATACACACTTCTGTCCTTTTACTCCCGAGTATTTTCTTTTCGTTGATTTATGTTCCGCACGAAGGGAAACACACGAGCTTTTTTGTTGTTGTGTAAAATTCGCAAATGGTCACTAGCTCCGCTGCATTGTTATTATTTCTCCAGGTATTCAGTTTTGCGGAACCTCCAAAGTGGAGCACAGTCCTTTGTGTGATGCTGATGAACTTCCAAATCATTCGAATTCCAAAACAATGTGCCCACTTAAGCGATGATGTAAATAGAAAAAAAAACATTTCTTACCTCTGCAGTCAACCAAGGTTGGACTCCAAATTGTACCGATTATGGTTCATTCCACATTGGAGGTTCCACTGTCTGTCATGAATCATCAAGACTACCTCTAATAGAACTTGGACACAGTGATTGTGCATATTGTATCTCTCCTTTTCTGATGTTAAGTTTGCTTACATGCTGTAAATGTATAAAAGTGAACGCGCTTGACTGTTAAACACTGGACTTTGCTACATATCGTTTTAAGTTCTAGTGACTTACCAAGGTGTGTCCGCTTAATGCCTTCTTGTGAATCTGAATATTTTTTGCTCTACTACTTTTTAAGACTGTACTGCTGTGAACTCGTTTAAATTAAATACACGCAGGTATGAAGTTTTTCAAGAAGCACATTATTTTAATGTTATTTTATGAGCTTGTGTTCATGTATTAATTTGATGGGGAAAGGATGTAGTAATATTTGTCATTGTGAAGAGGTACTCCAGTGTAGAGAGCTGAATGTGCAGTAGTTTCATGCTTTATTTGTGTGATGAACGCTTCACACGTGAATGGAACAATTCAGAAAAGTATGGTGATGTGGGCTTTAGTTTGAAAACGTTTAATGTAATTTAAGTGACAGTGGTGTTTCAGGAATTGATGGCACAATGTGGTGAAATAAATGGCTCAGGAATTAAAAGTTGGTCATCATCGTGGTGTTTGTGGCTACCCCTGGTGGAGGAAATTCTCCCGTCTTGGGTGAAAGTTTTTGATATGAAATGGATTCATTAGAATTAATTCATAATTGACATCTTACAGGTATGTTTGCACTTTGTGTTTCTTTGTTCTACTTCTGGTTACGTGATAGCTTGCTAACTGCGCTATGTTGAATTGAGCGTCATGTATTTCTACAGAATGATTGTAAACACCGTTTAGAGCATTGTTAAATAACAACACTAATATGAATTAGGTAGGCCTATGTGTGTTATTTGCCACTGAATGATTCTTTTAAAAAATGGTCATTCAATGAGCCACATTCAGGAAGCGTGCATTTTGAATAGCGGAGCAATCGCCCTTTTCCGTGTTCCACTGTGTTCACGTTTTTCATCTTATCACTTTAAAACTCTTAACATTGATGTCGAAGAGGTGTCTTGGTTTTAATCACGTCTTTGAAATTTCTCCAAAGGCTCTGTCAATATTTCCCCAATTTGTAGTTGACAAACCCCTTTAAAAAAATTGTAATTGAGTAGGGCCATTCTTGAAATCCAAATGGCCAGTTTATATATTTTAAATAAATTGTTTGACCTAAAGGCACATTTTTTTAATTCTTACAATTAGTCAGGTCCGTTGAGATATTACTCTTACCTGGTGTGATGGCTCATAGTTTCTGTGGCTTCCAATGATATTTTATTGAAATTTATCAACTACAAATGCCTCCTGGATGTGACATAGCTGTTCTTTGAAATGAATATCTACAACTCACAGTGTTTGTCCATTTTTGTGTTGGTTTTTTTTTCCTATGCATTTTCTATTGAAAACTTCAATTTAATATTCACTGTAGTTTCACATCATGGTGATTTTTGTTTTGATGAGATGTATCTGTTTTGCGTGGTGACTGATATTGCTTAACTTATAAATTAGAAACAATTGAAATCTCATATATTGTCTGTTTCTGTGTTTAACAAACTTTCCAATGATTGATGTCTTGTGAGAATAAAGACAAATAAAGTTATGGAAATTTGTACCTCGGATTCTACAAAAAAAAATGGTCACACCTGATGTCATTTAAATCGTTTTTTTTTTTTTTTAAATTTCACACACGTACCTCACTTAATTCAGGAAGTTGGCACAGATATCTTGGGACTCATTCATTTCTATGGGTAAGTACCAAAGCTAGCAAGATATCATAGCTATGTTAAAACCTTGACATTATTCCATTTAATACAAACAGTTGCGCCCCCTCTTCAAGCAGATTAGATATTAAAAATTGTGTAACATAATTTTGAAGGTGATACGTCGAACAGGTATGTTTGCATTTTTGATATACTGTATTTGTTCTTCTAATGGCTGCGTGCTGAGTCTACTAGCTTGCTAAATTACCACGATTAATTTGGGAATGAATAAAAGGTTTCCCTACAAAGACTCATTTGAAAATTGCTCAATAAAAAAACCTTATGTTGTGAAGAGGATTTTTAAAGATTTTGGCACAGATGCTGCTTCTTCGTGAAATGTTTATTTTTAATGCCAAAAGCTTGCTAACAATGCTATCCTAAATCTGAAAAGGGCATTTCACACTCACTTATTGCAATCTTTTTTTTTTCAGAGCACTATTTAGTAAAAATAGCAGAAACATTTAAACGGTAATATTACCTGTCTGAAATTCTAATAGTATCATTTCTGTTGGCTTACATACATTGCAGAGATAGATGACACTTTGTTTGTGTGTATATATATATATATATATATATATATATATATATATATATATATATATAAATAATGCTTACTAAGACAAATGTTTAGACACTAAAATTTAATATAACTCTTGCCACATTTGCTCACGTAATCGAATGGGGTCCTAAAGTAATCTGTTAACAAAATAAAAAAATAATAACACCAGAAGGCAGATTGTTTCAGGTTCTTTTATAAAATAGTTCACTTTACATTGCGTGTTTCCACATACAGTGTATTTATCTACAATACATTGACTGTGTGCTTCACACACTATCGAGCCCTCAAAGTTTGAACAGCCTTGTCAGGTGGTGAATGGAATTATGAAGAAGAGTACTTTGGCATAGTTTAATGGCGGACTATGTAGTAGTGAGGTCGACGAATGCAGATAGTTTGAAACACTGACTCTAGGGTTACGTTATTACTGTAACAATTGGTATAAATAGCAGACAGATTGCTTCTCACTGTTTGTAGGTTTCACATCTCGAGCTCAGTTGTATAACAGTCACATACGGGAGGTCAAAGTCTGAAAGGGAGTGTGAAACCTGGATTGTACAAAACAAGGTGCAAGTCAATTGAGTAAAAAAAAAAAAAAAAAAATGCTCCCCGATAACTTCTGCACCCACAAAACTCAAACTACTTACTCAGAGCAGTTAAACATGAATGTGAACATTTACAAAGCACAAACAAGCATATACTGTAAGTATCTTGCTTCAGGACGATATTGAGATCACTGCTCAGGTATACGATATATATGTGTTCAAACCACAATGTTTTTTTTCCACAGATCAGCCATAAAGACGTTATGGATGGAGAGAGGGAGACTCTTTTGAGGCAGACTCTGGCAAATAACAGTAAGAGCCATTTTAGATAAATCCATCTCACGTATCTTACAAGTCAATCCTCTTCTTCTTCCTCCTCCTCCTCACTTTCGCAATCTGTCAAGTACAGTTCATATTTTAAATATGTAAAGCCATTTAAATAGATATTGCTGCCCAGGTCTGGTCCACTGCAGACAGATAGTTGTGATATAGAGCAAGAGACACAAGACGACTGGAGAGTCAGCTAACTGCTGTTTTACTGTAGGATGACGAGCTGCTGGCAGTTTACTTGGCCTGCAGGGAGGAGAAAAGACACTTATATTTTATATTGCATTCTGTACTGTGTACAGTTCTTTTTTTTTTTTTTTTTTGTGCAGGCAAATGCTTAATGTTTTTCTATTTTCTTCCTTTCAAAATGTTGCTGCTGTAAATTGCGAATTTCTCCATTGTGAGACAAATTAAGGTCTTCTTATCTGAGAATCTTTAAGACCTATGACACAAACACTGTTCATATATAAGAGGTAAAAGGCAAAGAAACATACCTATGACGATTCATTTTCTTCCATATTTGACATTTTCCTGTCACTCCATATTGAGGACGGCCCAGTTGTCTTTCTTCTCCTGATGGTAAAAGAAATGAAACATTTAAAGCAAAAATGTGTCATCTTCCCGCCTTCAAATTACAGCTTCAGAACCATGGTGGCAGCTTGTACTTGAGAATAGCCTCTACTGTCGTTACCTCAGAAGCCACAGATCAAGTACTTACTGCGACTACTGTTCCATGTACTGGTGGACTAGCCAGTTTACCTCTGCTCTTGTGTTGCGTCAGTGCTAGTGCTACTGTTCAGATTTGTATGCGGTGTCTGTATAAAGCATAAAGCAGAGCACTCCAAATACAGTACCACCATAATGATCAATATTAAAATGCGGTAGTGTAGAAAGTCCAAGACGACAGGAAAATAATCCTATTGCAAGTCACTGTAGCCTGATACACTATTTGAAATCAACGCTGCCTTAATATTGGGAAGTTGTACTAAAAAGTTAAATACAACTGAAGTGTACTTGGGCACTGATTCTTTCAAGTACCACTAGAGCGAGTCCAAATACGAGTGGAACTAATACCACACTTTGAGAATCACTGCACTAGGCCATGCTCCTTAAATGAATGTCAAAACACATTTAAATTTGGGAAAAAAAAGTACTTTATTTTTGGTTGCACATGATGAAAATGTACTAAACTAATATATGAGGAAATTACCATATTTTAATCATATGCAACCACTGTACATGTTTAAGTCAAGTAAATCCAAAGGATCTTTTTTTTTTCAGTGTACTAGTGTGACTTTCAGCTAATTACACTCTATATAACCTGATATTTATTCATGCTTTTATGTAGTCATTGATGGCATAGTAGTGCACTTGCTTGACTTCGGTGCAAGCAGCGTGCGTTCAGTTCTTACTCGTGAAGTTTGAATGAGTGTGAATGTTTTTCTGTCCCGATTGGCTGGCAACCAGTTCAGGGTGTACCCCGCCTACTGCCCGAAGACAGCTGGGATAGGCTCCAGCACACCCGCCACCCTCGTGAGGATATAAGCGGCTCGGCTAATGAATGAATGGATGGTTTTCTGTCTCCGTATGTGCCTTGCGACTGATTGGCGATCAGTGCAGCGTGTACTAGTAGTCTGCCTTTTGCGCAAAGTCAGCTGGCAAAGGCTCCAGCTACCCGTGACCCTAAATGAGGACAAATGCTGTGAAAAAGTAGCTGGACAGATGACTGTTTCCTGTTGTATAAGGTAAATGTTATGTCTGACCTCTGTCATGACAGGCAGGTTGTCGTGAGGAAGAAGCCACATTGTTCGATGGGCCTTGGCCCGTTGTCTCTGCAGGAGCTTCCGCAGCAACCTCTTCACCTTACGGTCCCTGGGGTCGGCACACTTCACCGCTTTTTTGGTGTAAAGACTGCCGAAAATGGAAAATCTGACTTAGTTTACCGTACATCACAGCGTCATGAAGAACACAATCTCTGCTTGAAGGTTAACTGAATAGAAGCCTCTCAAGTGTTGCAAGACACAGTGAATCTGATCGAGTGGATGGAACCAAAAGGAATTCTTGGAACTTGAACAATTCCATTCAAGCTTACGTTCTCCCTCTTTTCTCGCAACAGCCTTGTCAACATTACTGTTTCTGACCAACAGCTTGACCAACTGACTGTGGCCGGGGCTCTGCTGGCTCGGGAAGGTATTTACGGATGTCTTGTAGTTGCCGCACATTTCCTCTGACTTCCCTGGCAATTACAGCCCCGAGGCCCGCCACAGCAACTTGACCTGGGACGATGACCACAGCTCTCGGCCCCGACTCTGGGTAACTAGAGGCATATTTTCCATGCGTGCGCTCTTAAGCTCCAGGAGTGGATAGTTGGAATACTTGCATGATGGCTTGTATACTGCAGTCCGGCCCTTCGGTCTGCACCTCAAACCGCAGCACGTCCTTGGTGCGTACCTTGCCATGGGAATAGAGCATGCAGCACTGGACATCCCGCTGCATCTGCACACCTTTACCTGGAAAACGTTAATGGGACAAAACATTATGGGAACATCAACGACAATTATTTGTTTGAACCATATCATCCATTTGCTGTAACGGGTGAACAGGAGCCTCTCCCAGCTGCTTTTGGGCAAAAGGCGAGGTACACCTTGGACTGGTTCCCAGCCAATTAGAGGGCTAAATACAAATGTCTAATTGAAACATGATGCAAATTTGTGCAAAAGTGTATTTGTAATTTTTATCTTTTAAAAGTGCTATGAATTCCCATACCCACAACTTTTTCCAGAGACTTACTGAAATGTTAAGCGGTCTTCCTTGGCCCATGTACCACCAGTCTACATAGTTTCTTGGAAATCAGTTTGATATGTTTTAGGGTGTCGCTGATGGTGTAGTGGTACACACGCCGGTCTTGTGTGCGGGCAGTGTAGGATCGGTTCCCACTCGGTGACAGTGTAAATGTGGGTGTGAATGTTCGTATGTCTCTCTATGTGCCCTATGACTGACTGGCGACCAGTTCAGGGTGTAGTCTGCCTTCCGCCCGGAGTCAGCTGGGATAGGCTCCAGCAACTTCTTGCCACCCTGTTCAGGATAAGCGATGTTGAAAATGGAAGAATGTATTGATGGATGGATGTTTTAGCGCAACAAAGCTATTTATGGTTTACTGCTGTCAAAATTATTGTGGAGAAAAAAAGTCAACAAAGCAAGACATTTAGTGCTGGCCTAAGACTTTTGCTGAGTCCTTGGACATAACAATACAGGGTAGTAGGTTCTTTACATTTACTCTCTATCTATCTATCTATCTATCTCAGTTCTTTAAACTCCACTTCAGAACGTAAGTTTTCCAGATGCCCATGGATGTCACATTGTCGTGACACCCATCTAAAGGGGGGCAGGGGGTGGAGGGGAGAAAGAGGCATATATTTGAGGTGTGGCGTTGAATAATTTGAGTGGACGAGACACTGGACTCCCTCATACTGGTGGTTTGGCACCTGTGGATTCTCATATTCATGTTTTTTTTTTTCCAATCATTTTTTTTGTTCAATGTTTTTCACATTTTTGGGTGGAAAACTCATATTGAATGAATCAGCATTTTTTTTTTCAGAATTAAAATTATGAATTCATTAATTTCCGGGAACTTGGCCATTATGCATTTCTAACAGTGTAGCATCTTCATACAATTTATATAAAGTTTTATGTCCAATCCCAACTTTTTTGGGTGAAACACGCAAGTCTCAAAGGTACTTAATTGTGATATGAAATCACTAATCCAGTTAAAACAATTCAGTGGTGTGAAGTATGCGCGGCTACTTTTGCTGGGTGACGAACGATGTGTAATTTGAATCTCACACTGTCGCATGCACATATGGACGTGCTTGACGTACAATAGCGTGCCACCGCGCTGCGCTCTCTGTGCGACTGTTTCCATGTGTGCATGTGTTGTGTGTGTGCGCGCCGGAGGCTTTCATCCAAAGCAAATCAAAGTGTGATACAAATGCAATCTAGTGAGTCGCAAAATAGGACAGCGCTGCCTGGTTATTTGAAATCCGGGGCTCAGGCTCACGTCACGTCGCTTGCAGCCACACACGCCGAGCCAACGGGGGATATGAGATGACACCATCGCGCAGGCTGACACACTTCCCCATACTGATCGTCGGTCCGTTTTCCTCCTGCGAGCCCCTCATGCGAGCCCCCTCTTGTTTACATTCATCGCTGCACCTCCTGCCTCGCTGCTCTTTACTCACCCTCCCCTTCCTTTTTCCCCCCCGATTCGCCATCGCTCTTTCGGCCACACTGTCCACCTGCAGCGCGCATGCAATTCACGCAGTATATTCACGCCAGCTCGCCGTGTCTTACCTTGCGCAGATGCCAGGAGGAGAACAGTCAGGGAGATAACAGTCAACATCTGCAGCATGAACATGATGAGGCTGGCAGAGAGGATGATCTCGTCATTCACCTCTCCCTCTATGGCTGCTGCCTCTCTTATGTGACTCCCTCCCTCTTTTTATACCTCCCTGCCCATCTCTCACTCACTCACTTCCACCACCTCTTTTTTTTTTTTTAATCTCACTATCTTTTCCCTCCCTCCGTCTGTTTGTCCAGTTTCATCTTGCCATATTGTCACACTCCACTCACCACCCCTCACCCGCCTCCTCTTGTGTGTCTTATCAGAAGATTAAAAATCACTCCACATTCTTTCACATTCTCTGGCCTGAAATGCAGTTTGCCTCTTAGGCAGTTTTATATGTCAGATGTTTGGATTTTAAAAAATAGTCGAACATTTATAAGATAAGAACTCTGTTTTCTTTGGCTGTAAAATGTCACTGAGCAGCAGGTGTATCCAATTCAACTCTCACAGGATCAGGATTTCTGGAAAGTTGTGTTCGCTGTGGGCTCACTAGAACTATATTTAGAGTCATGCTCACACCAAGAATTTGGATCATAAATGTGTACAACATGCCATTCAAACCAGAAATGTTGAAGCATATCACAGCTGAGTGCAAGTGGCTTGAATTTCAGGGACTGGAACATTTGCAAGCTTCTGCCCTTCATGCTTTTTTTTTTTTTCAGTTTAGAAAAAAAAAATGTTTTGCCTTTTAGGGGCAAGACTAAAGCTGTACGAGACTAAAGCTGCAAAAAGGGCCCCTGGCTGACAGGGTTCGAGAAAAATGTATTATTAATTTAAGTGCTGGGGCCCAAATTTTTTTTCATGTGTTTCCAAATCCTCAACATCATCTTGTGGATACAGCGAAAAAAAGTGTTTGGATATTTTTTTTTTTTTTCTGAGAGAGACAGCTTGCTGCTTTACACATTGCCACTTTAAAGGTAGAGTTTGTCGTGTTTTCATTTACTTCTGCGAACTCAGCTTATTCTTCACCATAACAGACCAATGTGCAGCTGGAGCTGCTGATTCTCATTCCAACTGCTTCACATTTGGCTGCGAACTGCTTGATGAAGCCAACAGAACCACATGGTCTGCAAAAAGCAGGAGACAGTCCAGTGGAGTCACCAAACCGGACCCCTTTGATGCCTCAGCTGCACCTAGAAATCTGTACACAATAGTTGAGGAACAGAATCAGTGACAAAGGGCAACCTTGGTGGAGTCCCAGCCTCAGTGGAAATAACACCAAGTTGAGAATGTTTATGGGCCTTTTGTTGTTGAAAATGTCTTCTGTTGTTAATTGAAACCTTCCACTTGTATGATTGTTTTCCATAAACATCTGTTAAAATCCTAAATAATCCTGGGATGAGTGTTTTTGACCTTGGCGGACATATCTGTGGAGATTGCGGAGCACAAGGTTCAGGCCTCCGTTTTTAGTTAAGTTCAGTTTATTGTGCACCGTTGTCAATGTTACCACAAGATGCATTTTATCACTCACCGTGGATGTTTTTAGGGCATCCAAGATTTTGTTCTGCCGTGATATATTTTGGCAAGAGTAAATGAAAACAAACAGAGTCCTGGCAGCCAACGTAGGGTATTCCCAGCTTTTGTTTTATGTCTCTCTTAAAAGGTTTGACTCATACGCTATTGTCACCGTGTAATTATCATCCATTTAGCCAGTTGAATGATTCACGTTTGGAAAACGTGGCCCTGGTTTGTCTTTTCGGCCTCACCCTCGGTCTAGCGCCGCACCGCAATAACATGATGGAATCAACAACCGGTATGTGCACGAAAACAACATTGGGTTATGATTATTCAGAAACAAACCAAACACTTTTCTTTTGTAATGATGTGCTAACGGTAAATATGGCTAATGATGCATAATACAGCAATGATGTTCATACAAATTGGCAGAATAAATGCCGTAAAACCTTTAGTTATAATTCAGAATTGAAACTACATTTTTGAGGAAAATATGCTTTTATGGTGTTGGGTAGACTTACTTGCATTCATTCTGCTTTTTCTTTGTTTTTGTTGTTTTACAGACGCTTACTCCAAAATCTGCAGCATCAATAGGAAAACGAGAGAGAAAAATAAACATCTGAAGGTATGTGAATTGAGGGGACGTTCTTTCAAAGCATACCACTATGCCATGCTCTTTTGCCATCTGAGTTGAGGTCGAGCGTTTAAGTTTTCTGTTTTGCAGTTGTTATTTGCACTTCTAACAGAGGTCATAGGTGAAAAAGTCAGCTGAGTGAGGCTCATCTGCAAAAGAACGCCATCATAGTACACCTTTAAAGTGAAGCGTTTCATCCTTTTAACACACTGTCTGCAGTGGTAAACGTGTTTTAAACCTGAAAGACAGTTAAGAACAGTAACGTATTGTTTAAAACATAGTTTCACATTTGATTATTTCTAATTCCCGAAATGTAAAAATCATCAGCAATCGACTTTGGATATTAATTTGTATTGCACATTGTGAAACGACAGATGGTTATTGGCAGACTTAAGGAGCCACCACCATTCACAAATTAAACTTGTTTGCACCCTGGGCAAACTGAGGAACTATTCAGAGAACAAGGCAACAATACGTCCCCTCGGGGGGGCATTTTTATTTGAGCCATGGAAGTGAAACTATGCAGTCGGAGCAGTGAAGAGCCGAGGATGGAGTACAAGTATGTCCGTGCATGTGTGTATCCGTACGTTCATGTGTATGTGGGCATGCAATGGGGACGGGGTTCAAGAATTTGACCCAAGAAATCAGGTTGGAATCTCAGCTGCAAAAACATACCTTCCACATGAACACAGGTCTGCTTGTGAGCCAGAGACATTTTCTGCATAGCTTTGCGGCGATTAAAATATCTCCTGTCAAGGTGTGCAGACTCACAAAAATGCGGGCAATCAAAAATAAAAGTTACAGTGAGACGTTAATGTGTTCCTATTAGAGGGGGTTGCGGTGAGGGGGGGTGACAGGGGGGGCTACCTCCTGGAGAGGTTGTAGGGCTCAAATCACAGCTCTCGTGGTGCCTCGGAGATCTTGCTGTACCTGGAAGGGATTTCGGAGGGATAAAATGCACAAGGGCAAATAGTTGATCTAATCTTTGCTATGAAGCAAACAAAGAGGTGCGTGATTCAGAGAACAAGTTATGTGAAATTGAACACAAATAAATTCCACATTACAACATTCTGGGAATTATTTGGATCAGGCAAGAAGCAGCATTCTTCTTCTAAGTGGGTGTTTTCTTTCCTTGTATTGGTCTCTGCAGTTCATTTTCAGCCAGAGGTGCCATAGTTGCACATTAGTGTTCAAATAAGTGGTTTGTGCTGTTTAAACAAATGCAAAATAAGACTTGTTTGAGACTGATGTGAAAGGGTCTACACCGGTAAAAATAACATGATGTCAGCAGCATGTGGCTCGTTGTTCCAGATGTATGATTCTTGCTTTTGGTGGAAGAAACTATTTTTGCCTCTAAAAAGATCTTTAGTCACTAAAGTGTTTTAAAGATAAGTTGTCTTATTCTTTTAATCATAAATGGTTTATTTGTATCTCTGAACATACAGAAAATCATCAGTCTGCAGGAAATGTATTGATGTATTTTATTTGGGCAAACAATTCAAGAAAAAAAGTTCATTGTTCCTACGATTGCAGTTCACCTGAGACTGTCTTAATGGAAATAAAACAATGTTCAGTCCTTCAACATGAGATTATGTGGGTTTTTTTTTGTATGTGTCAGTAAGACATTCCTCTGTAGGCAGTTGACTGGTGCACTGTTGGAAGCAAACATTTGTGATTCTCACAGCTGTTTCATCGCCGGCTGAAACACTCAACCCAGAAAGTACACTCAGACATTTATTTGGAAAATTCGTAGTGCATCAACTCACGGGGGCTTGTTGAGGGCTTGGCTGTGCTTTGAGTGTGAACGAGAGCACTTTGGATGTGTTTAACGAATGCGGTCAGCAAGAACAACACACAGGGACATCTTCGAACATTCCGAACGCAAGCTTGAAACTTGTGAGTTTTTTTTTTCTCTGTCACACAACAGTCACTGTGTGGCGCAAAAACATTCAACCACTATTTCAACAAATGTTTGCATTGTATTGCAAGTGTGCAAAAGGCCTCCAGCAATGTGGGGAATTCCACATTTAGTTGTGGGAAAAGAAATTAAATTATAAAATGCAACTTCGAAAAGTGTAATTATCGTAATTATTTTGAGGCAAGCCGAAAGTCAAAAGCCAGATAGTCAAGCTGTCCAAACTTTGCCAGTTAGTCCGTGTGTAAGTGTCCAAGGGTGAGTTGTGGCCTACAGCAGCTACTTCTCATTTTGTATTTGTGTTTGGCTGTTCACCCAGTTCAATAAATGACTGCAAGTCCATCAGCAACTGTGGCTCTTGCCCAAAATGCAGGACCTTAATCCCCACCTCCACGTTCAGAGACAATTTTTAAATCCAGATGTACATGCATGCATTTCAAAGTGATACATCACACAGCCAGCACCTTGGACAGCGATCACTTTAGCGACGAGCCTTTAACATGGCCACCCGACTTGATGGTAAACATCTCAAGTATTTGTTTGAGTCCATAAAGTTGACAATTGTGGAGTTTACTTCAGATGAATACATTTAAAATACTCACCAATTCACTCTCTGCAAATTATGTTACCACCGTAATGCCACATTGAATGACTGGTGACCAGTCCAGGTTTGTACCCCGCTGGGATAGATTCCAGCTAATTTTGAATCTAAGGAGGATAAGCGAATAAAAATGAATGAACGCCCTAACCGAAAATGACAGAACTATTTGATAAACTATGATGCTCCTTGTATGCGCATTTCGAATTGAAGATCTTATGTCCTAACTAGTATTATAAAAATTAATAATCATCCAAATGCAATTTGCATGAGCCATAGTACATCCCATGGAAAGCATGCAGTGGAATTATCATACATACTAATAATGCAATAACTCATTCAGAATGGAAAAAAAAAGTAGTCTGGAAGTCACATTTATTTCACGGAAAAGCAACATTTCACCAATATTTACAAGTTAATGTACACTTGTAATGGCCACACGTTTCAAAGGAATGACATCCCTCCATCAAAGATACTTTGTGGAAAACCAGACATAAATATTCAAATTCTGGAAAAAAAAAAAGTAGCACAGAGGTTTTCACATTGTATCACATCCATAAAAATAAAAACAGTTTATTGGATGGTTTCAATTTGGTGCTTCCATCTCCTGAGGAACCATTTAATCTAACGTGCCTGGAAAGAAATTAGAAAACACACGAATTAAAACAACTCAAAAATTATCTGTGAGAATGAATTTTTAACCTTTTCCTTTTACTATGGGAAAAACTACCAATCAATGCTTTCAAAGGGTTGCTTGACTGTCTCTGACGTTTAACTCCTTTTTATGATAATAGCACAATAATGCTGTCCAGAAGAGTTGTGCCATTATCATAAGTGTGTACCTTATGTTTTGGATGACAAATCACTTTTTTTTTTCATGGTTTAGCTGGCCTTGCAACTTATACTAAAGTGCAAATTGTAGATTAAAATGAAGAGATCAGACTGGCACCTAAATTACCCGTTCCCGAATCGTGTTAACGTGTGGCGAAAGCCGCATGCTATAATTAGCGATAAGTCCTAAATTGGTTGTCATGACTTATGCTTTTACTTACTTTCGGCAGTTGCCAAATACTTTGGTGCATTACCGCCACCTTCTTTAGCATGTGGCATCTGCATGCTAAAGAAAATGGCTTCCAAAGGTTCGCTTCTGTCAACACAATTAGGAAACCGGAATTTGGGTGCAAGTCCAGGCTATATTGTTCTTGTTCTCAATTTTGTGGAATAAATTCCCGCCCCAAAAATGCGAATTACACTCCGGATCAACTTATCTGTTTTTTCTTCTTCATGAAACATTTTTTTGACTGATGTGACTTGTAGTAGTCCCCAAACAAAATAAAAAAAGAAACTCACCTTCTAAAAATGCAAATTCGTCTATGGCCTCGATTGCGTTGTCTGCAACAAGAGACAATGGTCACTAATCAACTTCCGTATCGTTGGGGCATTAACTCACTGGACACTTCATTAGTTACACGGGCACAATTGAACACAATCCAATATAAGAGCTAAAAATGAAGCTCAGCTTTTATTGAGCAGCAGGAAAGAATTCTTATGTTGGCTCTTGTTCAATCTTCTAAGTGTATATAATATTTAAGACTGAATAGACAATCACATGACAAGTGTTGTTCATTCCTGTGCACTTACCCAGGTCTTTTCTTTGCAATGTCTTTCTTTTGCCTTGCTGAGCATATACCATAGCGTCTTTTGCGATCATCTCAACAAACAACTCCTGTGGGACAAACAGTGTGCGATCATCTCAACAAACAACTCCTGTGGGACAAACAGTGTGCGTCAAAAGCCAAAGAATAAAACACTAGCATTTCAAGTACAGTGGCTTTATTTAAATCATTTGTTTGGTCACTTCATTAGTTGAAACTATTCCGTAAGACAGATGTTTATGTGAAAGAAACAATTATGTCATATACCTGGCCATAAATATTAATGCCATAATAAAAAGCGCAGCATTTCAGGTCCAGGTGTGAAGGACACAACTTAATGAACTTATTTAAAAAGAAAAAAAAAACAAACAAACAACATGGCCGCAGTATTCTATCATCATGATTCCGATTTTTTTTTGTAGTTTCAGTTTCACAATTGAATCCATACTAGTACAGCACCCATAAAATATATTTACACTAAACTGTACACATTTTTAAAGCTCAGGCTTTGCTCGATTTTACCAGCCTTTCAGACTGTAATTTTCAAGATTTTCTAAGCTTTTACTGCACAAATGTTTTAAGTAACATCAAACGTTCCGACTTGATGGTAAACATCTCAAGTATTTGTTTGAGTCCATAAAGTTGACAATTGTGGAGTTTACTTCAGATGAATACATTTAAAATACTCACCAATTCACTCTCTGCAAATTATGTTACCACCGTAATGCCACATTGAATGACTGGTGACCAGTCCAGGTTTGTACCCCGCTGGGATAGATTCCAGCTAATTTTGAATCTAAGGAGGATAAGCGAATAAAAATGAACGCCCTAATAAGACGAAAATGACAGAACTATTTGATAAACTATGATGCTCCTTGTATGCGCATTTCGAATTGAAGATCTTATGTCCTAACTAGTATTATAAAAATTAATAATCATCCAAATGCAATTTGCATGAGCCATAGTACATCCCATGGAAAGCATGCAGTGGAATTATCATACATACTAATAATGCAATAACTCATTCAGAATGGAAAAAAAAGTAGTCTGGAAGTCACATTTATTTCACAGAAAAGCAACATTTCACCAATATTTACAAATTAATGTACACTTGTAATGGCCACACGTTTCAAATGTAAAGAATGACATCCCTCCATCAAAGATACTTTGTGGAAAACCAGACATAAATATTCAAATTCTGGAAAAAAAAAAGTAGCACAGAGGTTTTCACATTGTATCACATCCATAAAAATAAAAACAGTTTATTGGATGGTTTCAATTTGGTGCTTCCATCTCCTGAGGAACCATTTAATCTAACGTGCCTGGAAAGAAATTAGAAAACACACGAATTAAAACAACTCAAAAATTATCTGTGAGGATGAATTTTTAACATTTTCCTTTTACTATGGGAAAAACTACCAATCAATGCTTTCAAAGGGTTGCTTGACTGTCTCTGACGTTTAACTCCTTTTTATGATAATAGCACAATAATGCTGTCCAGAAGAGTTGTGCCATTATCATAAGTGTGTACCTTATGTTTTGGATGACAAATCACTTTTTTTTTCATAGTTTAGCTGGCCTTGCAACTTATACTAAAGTGCAAATTGTAGATTAAAATGAAGAGATCAGACTGGCACCTAAATTACTCGTTACCGAATCATGTTGACGTGTGGCGAAAGCCGCATGCTATAATTAGCGATAAGTCCTAAATTGGTTGTCATGACTTATGCTTTTACTTACTTTTGGCAGTTGCCAAATACTTTGGTGCATTACCGCCACCTTCTTTAGCATGTGGCATCTGCATGCTAAAGAAAATGACTTCCAACGGTTCGTGTCTGTCAACACAATTAGGAAACCGGACTTTTGGGTGCAATTCCAGGCTATATTGTTCTTGTTCTCAATTTTGTGGAATAAATCCCCCCCCCCCCAAAATGCAAATTACACTCCGGATCAACCTATGTTTTTTCTTCTTCATGAAACATTTTTTTTGACTGATGTGACTTGTAGTAGTCCCCAAACAAAATAAAAAAAGAAACTCACCTTCTAAAAATGCAAATTCGTCTATGGCCTCGATTGCGTTGTCTGCAACAAGAGACAATGGTCACTAATCAACTTCCGTATCGTTGGGGCATTAACTCACTGGACACTTCATTAGTTACACGGGCACAATTGAACACAATCCAATATAAGAGCTAAAAATAAAGCTCAGCTTTCATTGAGCAACAGGGAAGAATTATGTTGGCTCTTGTTCAATCTTCTAAGTGTATATAATATTTAAGACTGAATAGACAATCACGTGACAAGTGTTGTTCATTCCTGTGCACTTACCCAGGTCTTTTCTTTGCAATGTCTTTCTTTTGCCTTGCTGAGCATATACCATAGCGTCTTTTGCGATCATCTCAACAAACATGGGACAAACAGTGTGCGTCTAAATCCAAAAGCCAAAGAATAAAACACTAGCGTTTCAAGTACAGTGGCTTTATTTAAATCATTTGTTTGGTCACTTCATTAGTTGAAACTATTCCGTAAGACAGATGTTTATGTGAAAGAAACAATTATGTCATATACCTGGCCATAAATATTAATGCCATAATAAAAAGCGCAGCATTTCAGGTCCAGGTGTGAAGGATACAACTTAATTAACTTACTTAAAAAGAAAAAAAAAACAATCAAAGAACATTCTATTATCATGATTCCGATTTTTTTTGTCATTTCTTTTTCACAATTGACCCCATACTAGTACAGCACCCATAAAATATATTTACATTACACTAAACTGTATACATTTTTAAAGCTCAGGCCTTGCTCTATTTTACCAGCCTTTCAGACTGTAATTTTCAAGATTTTCTAAGCTTTTACTGCACAAATGTTTTAAGTAACATCAAAAGTTGTCACTACGATATAAATATCCATTAATTTGAACAAATTCCACTCCAGTTTGTTTGCACAAGCTGTGAAACAACTTCATAAATCGCTTGTATTGAGTACTGTCATTCCACATCCAGCAGAGGGAGCTTGCACTTAAAATGTAATTCTCCATAGTCAACAGAAAGCATCTCGGATATCCACTTCTTTAAATCAAAATGGTAATTTATTCGCTCCATCGGAAGCCACGATAAGTACATGGAACAAACGTTGAGTCTAAGAATGAAATACATTTTAACCAAGTTGTAGGATTCATCCATCCATTCTCTGTCAAGCCATTGGCCAAAAGTGGCCACGAGAAAACCAAGAGACAATTTGTGGTAAGGGGTTATTATTGATATTTTCAAAGAGCTTAATTTACTATTGTTTTTTAAAACACCGCTTAAATGTAAATTTAAAGATCAATTTACTATTGTTTTTTAAAACACCGCTTAAATGTCGTAAATTTAAAGATTAAGCGGACTGTATTGGCGATACCATGAGCAGGCAACCCCTCGTATGAAATCACGTAAATTCACGCCGCAATAGCTAAATATCGCGAGACTGAATCCCTTCACAACAACCACAAGGAATATAAGATGCTTGAAGGTGTTTATGTTTGTCTGAGGTTTAGTACCGTGGCTTTAGCGATGATGAAGACAGATTCTTGGCTGGCGAGGGACACGTCTGGGTCAGTCTTCATCAAGGCCTTGATGCGGGTAAGCGGTAGCTTGGACAGCCGGTTGTGGCCCACGGCTGCCGCGGGGCCCGTCGCCTGCTGCTGAACGCCTTCCTCCAGCGCCTCGGCCGCACGATTCTCCTCCTCGCTCGTACAGCGGTCAGCCTCGTGGTCCGCGTGGGCGACGGGTGCCGCGAGCGTGGCTGCCATTTTTTCCTTTTCTTCCGCTGTCTTTAAATGTGAAAGAAAACAAAGACAAAACTACTCTTTTGCCGCGACATGTCACAGATGACAACAGAAGAAGCTCACTAGCATGTGCTTCCGCCTGGCCTGAGCTGTAAGCGCGCTGATTCGTCAGAGGTATTTGCTTAAGTCCCGCCTTTTCCTCTCCCGCCAATTTAGTAGTCTTCGACGGTTGGCTAGATTGCAAGCCGGGAGTTTACTAGAGTTGGACGCCCATCAAATAAAGTGTAGCCCCTTTGGATGACAAGCAGCTTGAAAATAAAATTAATACATTGTGAATGGTCATTTATTAATTTTCCAGATTGACACATACGCGTTTTCATGCATTTGTTTAGTGTTTTAATCAAAACTCTAAAGTGAAATGGGAAATACAGTACTTTATTCCTCTCTCTTATATGCTTGTATGGTATTTCAACCTAATTTAGTAATATACTGTGATGATAATTTTTTTTTTCTGATTTATGTACTGGTGCCCATTTCTCGGGATCCAAGGAATTACAAAATGCAATATCATAAATAATTTTAAACGGATGGGCTGCAAAAATTTACCGTTGTGAACCATCAACTTTGGACTAAACTAATTGGGTTACTCTCTAAAATTGTGTATGCAGCATTTTCATGCTTGCAGCTGGTGCCAGAGCTAATGAGCCGTCCACTAATACGCTGCGTTAATAGGATTGGGGCTCATCATTCACCATGTCCAGTCACAGTCAGGTGTTAACAACCTGAGGGACAGCATGAAGGACTCGCAGCATGCAGGTAAATTCATTTTGGCCAATACATATTTTGTAGATTTACTGGATGGTTTTCATGAGACTTTGTAGAGCCTTTATTTTATTTTATTACCCAAAGAGTTGAGGGTTGGTACAAAATATTTTAAAAAATTACATTTATGCTGCATAATCCATACGTAGCAATTTTTACGGTGAAAATATTTTAATTTCTTGATTGATTTTGTTTTTGATTCAGTACCAAATCTATCCTCAAGGTGGCACTCCTTAAATAAAATTGTGGGCAAACAGCTAAACCTCATTCGTAAGGCGTATGAGATAAAAATTTATGTATAATTATGATTATCTCACTGGAGTTCAATTCAAAAAACTTTTGTGACTGACGTGCACATTTGTTTAATTTCGTTATTGATATGTTTTGTAAATACATATCTTCCAATGTATCAGTTACCACAAACCCCCTATTTTTTTGTCATGGTCAAAAATATGACCATACAGTATCATATTGTAAGAATCCACCATTAGTGAGCAATAATGACCAAATGTAGTTCTATAATGATATACAGATTTACAGTGTTTTTGTTTCTTTGCCAAATATTTTTAAACTCTTTCATCAGTTAAATTCCTGAAGAGGATTGTTTTTTTTCCCATCAACAAATGATTCAAAATGAGTCTAATGCTAATGCAAATGCATGAACAGCGTCAGACTTGAAATGTAAATATTAGCGTTCACTTGGGATTTTCCCACATTTACTTTTGTTGAGTTGGAGGTCAGTGCTCTCTAGGTCTCCTTTTTAAACAACATAGCCTCAAGCTACACATAATTAACATACTGTACAAAATACAGCAAAGCAAAAAGACTTTATCTCTTGAATTGTGTTGTGGTAGTCTTCCATTGTGACCTGACTTCCAGTCCCAACAGGCTTCTGCAATTAGAAGAGACACACTAATGCTGTATCTAAAAGAGGTAATCCTTGCCGTTTTGAGGACTGACTGAAACGACTACAGACTAACTATATCCCACAATCATACTGGACATACTGAATGCTACATAAGCTTGGTGCCACATTAGAGCCTGTTGTAAAGAACATTTTGTATAATTTTGTTCTAAAAAATACTTTAATTCGAATAAAAGGTTGAAATAAGGGTAGAATATAATTGTACAAAGGTGGACAACCTTTTGTGCTTCAGGTCCATATAGTTGACCTTTAAAACAATCAGGTGGGCCAGGTCTTTGTGTTAAAATGTGTATGTACGTATGTAAATTATTTAATTTTAATATTGCAATAATAAATGATTTTTAACTTTATTAATTAGAATTAATTTTGTTATAATAATTAACTACAAAATCGAACATGCATTTTTAAAACGGTTCATTTTATAATGCAGGTTTTCTTATTTTATTCACAATAAATAAATTAACAGCATTATGAGAGAAATGAGGGAAAGTAAAATGAAAATAACAAACCAGTTTAGGGAAAGAGCGGCTAAATTAATGTATCTCAAAAATATTAATCATAAAAAAACTGAGACAAGGCAAGAGGTGAGACAAAATAACACATATTTTTTTTTCTGATTTATGTACTGGTGCCCATTTCTCGGGATCCAAGGATGCCATCCCAAATTTATTAGTACAGTATATGCACTGGTGCATAATATGCGTATATGCACTGCATATACGTTTGCAATAAATCTGGCTAAAGCACACACATATATATATATATATATATATATATATATATATATGAGAGAGCACAAAAATTACAAAATGCAATATCATAAATAATTTTAAACGGATGGGCTGCAAAAATTTACCGTTGTGAACCATCAACTTTGGACTAAACTAATTGGGTTACTCTCTAAAATTGTGTATGCAGCATTTTCATGCTTGCAGCTGGTGCCAGAGCTAATGAGCCGTCCACTAATACGCTGCGTTAATAGGATTGGGGCTCATCATTCACCATGTCCAGTCACAGTCAGGTGTTAACAACCTGAGGGACAGCATGAAGGACTCGCAGCATGCAGGTAAATTCATTTTGGCCAATACATATTTTGTAGATTTACTGGATGGTTTTCATGAGACTTTGTAGAGCCTTTATTTTATTTTATTACCCAAAGAGTTGAGGGTTGGTACAAAATATTTTAAAAAATTACATTTATGCTGCATAATCCATACGTAGCAATTTTTACGGTGAAAATATTTTAATTTCTTGATTGATTTTGTTTTTGATTCAGTACCAAATCTATCCTCAAGGTGGCACTCCTTAAATAAAATTGTGGGCAAACAGCTAAACCTCATTCGTAAGGCGTATGAGATAAAAATTAATGTATAATTATGATTATCTCACTGGAGTTCAATTCAAAAAACTTTTGTGACTGACGTGCACATTTGTTTAATTTCGTTATTGATATGTTTTGTAAATACATATCTTCCAATGTATCAGTTACCACAAACCCCCTATTTTTTTGTCATGGTCAAAAATATGACCATACAGTATCATATTGTAAGAATCCACCATTAGTGAGCAATAATGACCAAATGTAGTTCTATAATGATATACAGATTTACAGTGTTTTTGTTTCTTTGCCAAATATTTTTAAACTCTTTCATCAGTTAAATTCCTGAAGAGGATTGTTTTTTTTCCCATCAACAAATGATTCAAAATGAGTCTAATGCTAATGCAAATGCATGAACAGCGTCAGACTTGAAATGTAAATATTAGCGTTCACTTGGGATTTTCCCACATTTACTTTTGTTGAGTTGGAGGTCAGTGCTCTCTAGGTCTCCTTTTTAAACAACATAGCCTCAAGCTACACATAATTAACATACTGTACAAAATACAGCAAAGCAAAAAGACTTTATCTCTTGAATTGTGTTGTGGTAGTCTTCCATTGTGACCTGACTTCCAGTCCCAACAGGCTTCTGCAATTAGAAGAGACACACTAATGCTGTATCTAAAAGAGGTAATCCTTGCCGTTTTGAGGACTGACTGAAACGACTACAGACTAACTATATCCCACAATCATACTGGACATACTGAATGCTACATAAGCTTGGTGCCACATTAGAGCCTGTTGTAAAGAACATTTTGTATAATTTTGTTCTAAAAAAATACTTTAATTCGAATAAAAGGTTGAAATAAGGGTAGAATATAATTGTGCAAAGGTGGACAACCTTTTGTGCTTCAGGTCCATATAGTTGACCTTTAAAACAATCAGGTGGGCCAGGTCTTTGTGTTAAAATGTGTATGTACGTATGTAAATTATTTAATTTTAATATTGCAATAATAAATGATTTTTAACTTTATTAATTAGAATTAATTTTGTTATAATAATTAACTACAAAATCGAACATGCATTTTTAAAACGGTTCATTTTATACTGCAGGTTTTCTTATTTTATTCACAATAAATAAATTAACAGCATTATGAGAGAAATGAGGGAAAGTAAAATGAAAATAACAAACCAGTTTAGGGAAAGAGCGGCTAAATTAATGTATCTCAAAAAATATTAATCATAAAAAAACTGAGACAAGGCAAGAGGTGAGACAAAATAACACATTAGCCATAACTAATAATTAAAAAATGCCTTTTTTTTGGCCACAGTATTCCACATGGAACCAAGTTCAAAACATTACCAAAAAATAAATGCATTTAAAATTAATACATATAAAAAGAAGAAACTGCAAGTCACTCATCACTTGATCAAAATCTGTTCTGCTCTCGTTGTAAAGTGCTATAATGAGCAAATGTGAAGTACACTTGCATGGGATGAAATAGATTTATCCTGTTCATTTCACAGCTGCAAGCTACCAAGTAGCCAGCATGTACATGTCAGTTTTCAAACATGTGTCCCTTCTGTGTCTTTTCTCTCTGAAAGCCATAAAAACGAAGCTGTGGCCCAAGCAGAAAGCGACTAAAAAACCCAAAGATGAGTCCCCAAAGGTGGAGAAGCCACCCAAGTGGCCAATACATATTTTGTAGATTTACTGGATGGTTTTCATGAGACTTTGTAGAGCCTTTATTTTATTTTATTACCCAAAGAGTTGAGGGTTGGTACAAAATATTTTTAAAAATTACATTTATGCTGCATAATCCATACGTAGCAATTTTTACGGTGAAAATATTTTAATTTCTTGATTGATTTTGTTTTTGATTCAGTACCAAATCTATCCTCAAGGTGGCACTCCTTAAATAAAATTGTGGGCAAACAGCTAAACCTCATTCGTAAGGCGTATGAGATAAAAATTTATGTATAATTATGATTATCTCACTGGAGTTCAATTCAAAAAAACTTTTGTGACTGACGTGCACATTTGTTTAATTTCGTTATTGATATGTTTTGTAAATACATATCTTCCAATGTATCAGTTACCACAAACCCACTATTTTTTTGTCATGGTCAAAAATATGACCATACAGTATCATATTGTAAGAATCCACCATTAGTGAGCAATAATGACCAAATGTAGTTCTATAATGATATACAGATTTACAGTGTTTTTGTTTCTTTGCCAAATATTTTTAAACTCTTTCATCAGTTAAATTCCTGAAGAGGATTGTTTTTTTTCCCATCAACAAATGATTCAAAATGAGTCTAATGCTAATGCAAATGCATGAACAGCGTCAGACTTGAAATGTAAATATTAGCGTTCACTTGGGATTTTCCCACATTTACTTTTGTTGAGTTGGAGGTCAGTGCTCTCTAGGTCTCCTTTTTAAACAACATAGCCTCAAGCTACACATAATTAACATACTGTACAAAATACAGCAAAGCAAAAAGACTTTATCTCTTGAATTGTGTTGTGGTAGTCTTCCATTGTGACCTGACTTCCAGTCCCAACAGGCTTCTGCAATTAGAAGAGACACACTAATGCTGTATCTAAAAGAGGTAATCCTTGCCGTTTTGAGGACTGACTGAAACGACTACAGACTAACTATATCCCACAATCATACTGGACATACTGAATGCTACATAAGCTTGGTGCCACATTAGAGCCTGTTGTAAAGAACATTTTGTATAATTTTGTTCTAAAAAATACTTTAATTCGAATAAAAGGTTGAAATAAGGGTAGAATATAATTGTACAAAGGTGGACAACCTTTTGTGCTTCAGGTCCATATAGTTGACCTTTAAAACAATCAGGTGGGCCAGGTCTTTGTGTTAAAATGTGTATGTACGTATGTAAATTATTTAATTTTAATATTGCAATAATAAATGATTTTTAACTTTATTAATTAGAATTAATTTTGTTATAATAATTAACTACAAAATCGAACATGCATTTTTAAAACGGTTCATTTTATACTGCAGGTTTTCTTATTTTATTCACAATAAATAAATTAACAGCATTATGAGAGAAATGAGGGAAAGTAAAATGAAAATAACAAACCAGTTTAGGGAAAGAGCGGCTAAATTAATGTATCTCAAAAATATTAATCATAAAAAAACTGAGACAAGGCAAGAGGTGAGACAAAATAACACATTAGCCATAACTAATAATTAAAAAATGCCTTTTTTTTGGCCACAGTATTCCACATGGAACCAAGTTCAAAACATTACCAAAAAATAAATGCATTTAAAATTAATACATATAAAAAGAAGAAACTGCAAGTCACTCATCACTTGATCAAAATCTGTTCTGCTCTCGTTGTAAAGTGCTATAATGAGCAAATGTGAAGTACACTTGCATGGGATGAAATAGATTTATCCTGTTCATTTCACAGCTGCAAGCTACCAAGTAGCCAGCATGTACATGTCAGTTTTCAAACATGTGTCCCTTCTGTGTCTTTTCTCTCTGAAAGCCATAAAAACGAAGCTGTGGCCCAAGCAGAAAGCGACTAAAAAACCCAAAGATGAGTCCCCAAAGGTGGAGAAGCCACCCAAGCCGCCAACCTCGACCACCTCCGCTGTTGCCGCAAGAAGTGCCCCTCCGCAGCTGAGTGAGGCCGAAAGGATACGTCTGACGCCCTTCGAGAGAGTTGTCTACGACATGGCCCACAATGAGAAGATGGTCAACGACCTCATCCTCGGCCGCAGGGTTGGATTCTACGAGCTGCGCGGAGAAATCGGCCAGGGCAATTTTTCATCAGTCAGACTGGGCATCCATGCCTTGACCAAAGGTCTGTTATTTTATCTCCGTTATTTATTTACCCTCCCAATCAGCCTGTGCCTCTATATATGTATACTGTTCTACTATTGAAAATGTTCTTTTGAATGCTTGTCGCGGTGGCGGGGTTGCAAGGGCAGTCTGAAAAATTGCTTTATCGAGCAATAAACGCGCATAGTTGGCAATAATAGCCATTGCTCTGCCCTGGTTGTCATGGTTTTTAAACCAGAGCATGGCTGAAAAAAAATTAGAGAACTTTTCTCAAGACTCCTTAAAAAATGTTTTAATTGTGGGGAAAAATAGGCATAAATTTGCTCTCCTGTCCTTTCCCAGAGAGAGTGGCTGTCAAGATCATGGAAAAGCAGCGCAAGGTGGATAAGGGTCCCCAGCCCTTTAGCTCCTCGGAGATTCGCTGCATGGAAAAGCTGTGCCACCCAAACGTGGTGCGTCTTTACGAGGTGATGGAGACGAGCAGGAAGCTGTACCTGGTGATGGAGTACGGCAGCGGCGGCGACCTGTTCTCTCGCATCACCACCAGGGGGAAGCTCAGCGACCTGGAGGCGAAGCTGATTTTCGCCCAAGAAAAAATACTTTAATTCGAATAAAAGGTTGAAATAAGGGTAGAATATAATTGTGCAAAGGTGGACAACCTTTTGTGCTTCAGGTCCATATAGTTGACCTTTAAAACAATCAGGTGGGCCAGGTCTTTGTGTTAAAATGTGTATGTACGTATGTAAATTATTTAATTTTAATATTGCAATAATAAATGATTTTTAACTTTATTAATTAGAATTAATTTTGTTATAATAATTAACTACAAAATCGAACATGCATTTTTAAAACGGTTCATTTTATACTGCAGGTTTTCTTATTTTATTCACAATAAATAAATTAACAGCATTATGAGAGAAATGAGGGAAAGTAAAATGAAAATAACAAACCAGTTTAGGGAAAGAGCGGCTAAATTAATGTATCTCAAAAATATTAATCATAAAAAAACTGAGACAAGGCAAGAGGTGAGACAAAATAACACATTAGCCATAACTAATAATTAAAAAATGCCTTTTTTTGGCCACAGTATTCCACATGGAACCAAGTTCAAAACATTACCAAAAAGTAAATGCATTTAAAATTAATACATATAAAAAGAAGAAACTGCAAGTCACTCATCACTTGATCAAAATCTGTTCTGCTCTCGTTGTAAAGTGCTATAATGAGCAAATGTGAAGTACACTTGCATGGGATGAAATAGATTTATCCTGTTCATTTCACAGCTGCAAGCTACCAAGTAGCCAGCATGTACATGTCAGTTTTCAAACATGTGTCCCTTCTGTGTCTTTTCTCTCTGAAAGCCATAAAAACGAAGCTGTGGCCCAAGCAGAAAGCGACTAAAAAACCCAAAGATGAGTCCCCAAAGGTGGAGAAGCCACCCAAGCCGCCAACCTCGACCACCTCCGCTGTTGCCGCAAGAAGTGCCCCTCCGCAGCTGAGTGAGGCCGAAAGGATACGTCTGACGCCCTTCGAGAGAGTTGTCTACGACATGGCCCACAATGAGAAGATGGTCAACGACCTCATCCTCGGCCGCAGGGTTGGATTCTACGAGCTGCGCGGAGAAATCGGCCAGGGCAATTTTTCATCAGTCAGACTGGGCATCCATGCCTTGACCAAAGGTCTGTTATTTTATCTCCGTTATTTATTTACCCTCCCAATCAGCCTGTGCCTCTATATATGTATACTGTTCTACTATTGAAAATGTTCTTTTGAATGCTTGTCGCGGTGGCGGGGTTGCAAGGGCAGTCTGAAAAATTGCTTTATCGAGCAATAAACGCGCATAGTTGGCAATAATAGCCATTGCTCTGCCCTGGTTGTCATGGTTTTTAAACCAGAGCATGGCTGAAAAAAAATTAGAGAACTTTTCTCAAGACTCCTTAAAAAATGTTTTAATTGTGGGGAAAAATAGGCATAAATTTGCTCTCCTGTCCTTTCCCAGAGAGAGTGGCTGTCAAGATCATGGAAAAGCAGCGCAAGGTGGATAAGGGTCCCCAGCCCTTTAGCTCCTCGGAGATTCGCTGCATGGAAAAGCTGTGCCACCCAAACGTGGTGCGTCTTTACGAGGTGATGGAGACGAGCAGGAAGCTGTACCTGGTGATGGAGTACGGCAGCGGCGGCGACCTGTTCTCTCGCATCACCACCAGGGGGAAGCTCAGCGACCTGGAGGCGAAGCTGATTTTCCAAAAAACTTTTGTGACTGACGTGCACATTTGTTTAATTTCGTTATTGATATGTTTTGTAAATACATATCTTCCAATGTATCAGTTACCACAAACCCACTATTTTTTTGTCATGGTCAAAAATATGACCATACAGTATCATATTGTAAGAATCCACCATTAGTGAGCAATAATGACCAAATGTAGTTCTATAATGATATACAGATTTACAGTGTTTTTGTTTCTTTGCCAAATATTTTTAAACTCTTTCATCAGTTAAATTCCTGAAGAGGATTGTTTTTTTTCCCATCAACAAATGATTCAAAATGAGTCTAATGCTAATGCAAATGCATGAACAGCGTCAGACTTGAAATGTAAATATTAGCGTTCACTTGGGATTTTCCCACATTTACTTTTGTTGAGTTGGAGGTCAGTGCTCTCTAGGTCTCCTTTTTAAACAACATAGCCTCAAGCTACACATAATTAACATACTGTACAAAATACAGCAAAGCAAAAAGACTTTATCTCTTGAATTGTGTTGTGGTAGTCTTCCATTGTGACCTGACTTCCAGTCCCAACAGGCTTCTGCAATTAGAAGAGACACACTAATGCTGTATCTAAAAGAGGTAATCCTTGCCGTTTTGAGGACTGACTGAAACGACTACAGACTAACTATATCCCACAATCATACTGGACATACTGAATGCTACATAAGCTTGGTGCCACATTAGAGCCTGTTGTAAAGAACATTTTGTATAATTTTGTTCTAAAAAATACTTTAATTCGAATAAAAGGTTGAAATAAGGGTAGAATATAATTGTACAAAGGTGGACAACCTTTTGTGCTTCAGGTCCATATAGTTGACCTTTAAAACAATCAGGTGGGCCAGGTCTTTGTGTTAAAATGTGTATGTACGTATGTAAATTATTTAATTTTAATATTGCAATAATAAATGATTTTTAACTTTATTAATTAGAATTAATTTTGTTATAATAATTAACTACAAAATCGAACATGCATTTTTAAAACGGTTCATTTTATACTGCAGGTTTTCTTATTTTATTCACAATAAATAAATTAACAGCATTATGAGAGAAATGAGGGAAAGTAAAATGAAAATAACAAACCAGTTTAGGGAAAGAGCGGCTAAATTAATGTATCTCAAAAATATTAATCATAAAAAAACTGAGACAAGGCAAGAGGTGAGACAAAATAACACATTAGCCATAACTAATAATTAAAAAATGCCTTTTTTTGGCCACAGTATTCCACATGGAACCAAGTTCAAAACATTACCAAAAAGTAAATGCATTTAAAATTAATACATATAAAAAGAAGAAACTGCAAGTCACTCATCACTTGATCAAAATCTGTTCTGCTCTCGTTGTAAAGTGCTATAATGAGCAAATGTGAAGTACACTTGCATGGGATGAAATAGATTTATCCTGTTCATTTCACAGCTGCAAGCTACCAAGTAGCCAGCATGTACATGTCAGTTTTCAAACATGTGTCCCTTCTGTGTCTTTTCTCTCTGAAAGCCATAAAAACGAAGCTGTGGCCCAAGCAGAAAGCGACTAAAAAACCCAAAGATGAGTCCCCAAAGGTGGAGAAGCCACCCAAGCCGCCAACCTCGACCACCTCCGCTGTTGCCGCAAGAAGTGCCCCTCCGCAGCTGAGTGAGGCCGAAAGGATACGTCTGACGCCCTTCGAGAGAGTTGTCTACGACATGGCCCACAATGAGAAGATGGTCAACGACCTCATCCTCGGCCGCAGGGTTGGATTCTACGAGCTGCGCGGAGAAATCGGCCAGGGCAATTTTTCATCAGTCAGACTGGGCATCCATGCCTTGACCAAAGGTCTGTTATTTTATCTCCGTTATTTATTTACCCTCCCAATCAGCCTGTGCCTCTATATATGTATACTGTTCTACTATTGAAAATGTTCTTTTGAATGCTTGTCGCGGTGGCGGGGTTGCAAGGGTAGTCTGAAAAATTGCTTTATCGAGCAATAAACGCGCATAGTTGGCAATAATAGCCATTGCTCTGCCCTGGTTGTCATGGTTTTTAAACCAGAGCATGGCTGAAAAAAAATTAGAGAACTTTTCTCAAGACTCCTTAAAAAATGTTTTAATTGTGGGGAAAAATAGGCATAAATTTGCTCTCCTGTCCTTTCCCAGAGAGAGTGGCTGTCAAGATCATGGAAAAGCAGCGCAAGGTGGATAAGGGTCCCCAGCCCTTTAGCTCCTCGGAGATTCGCTGCATGGAAAAGCTGTGCCACCCAAACGTGGTGCGTCTTTACGAGGTGATGGAGACGAGCAGGAAGCTGTACCTGGTGATGGAGTACGGCAGCGGCGGCGACCTGTTCTCTCGCATCACCACCAGGGGGAAGCTCAGCGACCTGGAGGCGAAGCTGATTTTCGCCCAAGTCGTCTCTGCTGTGAAACACATGGTGAGCATTTGTCACGGTCGCTCACTTTTATCACAACACACACTCACACGCATTGCACAAAGCAAACCACAAACCACTGCTCGTTCTGTGAAGTGCTCAGTAAGAATTCATTTCAAAGTGAAGTCATCTTTATATTCATTGCCAATAATCAATAGGCAATAAGAATTCGCAGACAATCAATTGCTAAACATACACTGCCGACCGCAATATTTATGTTCACTAGAAAAAGTAATGAGACCCAAACAATATTTTTTGTGTTGATTTGTCAGCAAAAATTCACAGCAAGCAAGCAAAAAAAACAACAAAATCTTAACATTTACAGACCACAAATATGTTTGTTGGTGGCCAAAAACGGTAACAGACAAGCTGCAGGATCATAAAAGTGAACAAGGCCTGTGAAAGTGTGAAAGAGAAAGTGGAGAAGAGAAAGAGTGAAAACACTGTCATGTCTTCCTCTGGAATGTTCCAGCATGAGAACAACATCGTCCACAGGGACCTCAAGGCCGAGAACATCTTCTACACCACCAGCTACTGCATCAAGGTGGGTGACTTCGGCTTCAGCAGGGAGAGTGCGCCCAACGAGCCGCTCACCAATTTCTGCGGCTCGCCGCCATACTCTGCACCCGAACTCTTTCGCGAAAAAGGCTACGTGGGCTGCTATTCGGACATCTGGGCTTTAGGTATTATTCTGTACTTCATGGTGACCTCCACGTTGCCTTTCTGCGGGGACAATTTGAGCAGGCTGAAGCGTTGCATCCTTCAGGGGGCCTACAGCATCCCCGCGTACGTGCCTGACGAGTGCCAGCTTGTCATCAAGGGCTTGTTGCGGCCCGTACCGGTGGACCGCTCATCTCTCATCCAAGTTTCGAACGGCGCTTGGCTAAGGGGGATCCAGTACCCCGGTCCATATGTGCCCCTGCCCTTGGCTCCGGCCCACTTGGCTTGGACCTCCAATGATCTGTGCGCGGAGGAGAAGGAGGTGAAGACTCTCCTGTCAGACTTGGGCATCATAGCGGTTCACTTGCAAAACAATCCCTGTTCGGACTCCAAGAGCCCACTGACTGGGACCTACCGCATCCTCCTCCACCGGATCCAGAAGAGGAGATCCGTGGAGGCCGTCGGCTATGCGGCAATTCACCCCGACGAGTACAGGAGTCAGGCCCGGTGGTGCGTCGCATCTGTGGACAAACACAACCCCTCTGCAGTCTGTGCTATACTCTAATCAAGTGGAACCTTGACTATACAAGTGCCACAACCTTTGAGTTTTTCCAAGTTCTGAGCCTTTGGTTAATCAGTTATGCATGTTTTTCTATAATGTACTATTTGGTACAGTGCTATTTTCTTTTTCTCTTCATTTCAAAAACATGTTACACTATTTGGGGGTGCTTTTTAGGGAGCTGAAACAGATGAATGACATTTCCATTCAGTTTAATGTGGAACTTTGATTTGACTCAAGGTACCACTGTACTCACTTTGGCACTTTATCGAAGAAACGCAAAGTTTCCCTGCCCATTCATTTCATGCCGTGCAATACTAAATTGGAAGAGGCAGATGAGTACGGAGGTTCAGAGAGTTCTTTATCTCACACATTTCTCCCATGTAATGAGCTGTGACTCACCCTGACAGCATTACTCAGTATTTAGTTTAGTGATGCGAAGCATTCATCAATCAGAGCGCCGCTATCTGTATTTTGCAATCCTCGTTGGGCACGGCATAAATCCGCACTGCAAATCCGAGGCTATAGGTAATCCCTTCAAAGGGGGGCGGGGGGGGGGGGCGGGGGACGCTTCTGGAACAATCATGAACACTCAGACTGGAAAAACATGTGAGATGTAAAAATGGTGGAGTCAAAGTGGGACCACCAACGCAAGGCAACGGCATTGGGACCTTATGCACAAATTTTGCCTTTTGCAAAAAAATAATCATGCTCAGTTTTGAGAGAGGTTTTTAATTTCTATACTATATATCCATCCATTTTCTACAACAGGAGAATCAAAAAGAAACGAGACAGAACTGGAAAAAAAAAAAATCCATGTTCAGGCCCGGATTGCATCTCCCTGCAGTTTTTCAAGATAAGCACCACCTTGCACAACAGAAATAAATTACAAGAATTAAGTGCCCAAAAAATACTCCATGGCAACCTCCATGACTCACGCCAACGTTGTAAAATGTACGTCATACAATTATGCAATCGCCCCTCTCACTAGTATTTTGTAATGACCGTTATTGTAAACAATAGAAATAAGCAGAACAATTAATAGAAATAATCCATAGACTCTCGGCCCGAATGGCCAAATATGAGTTCACCCTCGGTGTTTCACTGTGTGTGTCCATGGCGTCCCCGAACCACTGGCGAAAGCAGACTTTGATTCGCTCCTCTTTCATCTGTAATTGCTTCCACCAACAAGACGTACGTATAGGATAGTTGTTACGATTGTATGACTGTCCCATGTTTTGTGCTATTTGGTTTTTTGTATTATTGTTCTTTTCTGTCAAATGTTCCACAAAGGATTTTGTGATAGCAGCAGCTGTCGTGAAAGCGCCATATGAATCCAGATGTGTCGTACTCTTCCTGAATGCAACATGCTCATCTTTTCATTTGAAGGCAATGTGAGTTCTTATCAGTCTCTTAAAAGCTTCACCTTCATTCCAGTGTGCAATTTGGGGTTTAAGACATCAATGAAATGAATTAATGAAAATGTTATCATTGTGCTCTTGTTTTTTTTTTTTTTTTAAAATGTTTCCTTCTGCATTCAGTGCCTTGCAGATTCCCTGTGCAGGCAGTAACACAACGCATGCCAACTTTTCAATCTTAAGAGTCGTAAAGCCAATTGCGCAATAAATACTCAAAAGAACAACAGCACAAGTGCACCATATACCGCGCAATAAACTCCTGTCATGTCTGTGTAAAGCGGCGTTTCAACTAACATTTCTTGTGGGAAGCTCAAGCTCTCAAGTTCAAGTTGCGAAACCTTCAGATTTGAATTCTTTGGACTCTTAGCGTGCCCAATTTATTTCATGTTAATCTTTCAACGCCTGCTCTCTTTGGCAGCCTTTTACAGTCACCTCGCCATGCCCTGCCAGGGCTGCCAACGTCTAATCAGCAGTCATGATGATGACTACAATAAGATTTTTGCTCTTTTTTTTTTTTTTATTGTAAATTCTCCCTAGTCAACTCTGCTCCCAGAGGAATGTGTGCGCCGTGTGTGGGCATAAGTCCCGGCTTGTTGTTTACATTCGGATCTTGCTCAATATTCATTTGGTGAAAGTCCGTCTTTTCGTTTCCTCTTGTTTCCGCCCACAACGTGGTATTCATGTGACACAAACATAAGCAATGACCTGCTTCTGCCTGCGCAGTGCCAAAGTCAATTATTTTACACTGAGACGTTCAAAGGTTCAATGAGGACTTTGGTGAAATGCTGTCGTTTCATGGAAATCCAAAAGTGGCCAATTTTCTCAAAAGATTTTCTGGATGATAAGCACACACAACATCAGTCCAAAGTGTGGGCCACTTTTTCCCGCTATTGAACGACAATTATTGATGAGTCCCTCCACCTTGAATAAGTTAAGTTCCAGCTGAACAAAAAGAAAGCATGCAGCTGCCGCCGTTTGGTGTTCTTTTGGTGATGAGAAGTTGGTTTGCTCCAGATATACCGTTTGGAATTATGGCTTAAAGTTCAAAATGGGGGTCATCACATGTTTTCCCACTGCATGTGTTCTTGGCAAATTTTTTAAATTGAGCACATATGGTATATTCCCACTTGATGTTTTTATTTATTGACATGGTTCAAAGCCCCCTCTTGCATTCAGAAGACTAAGACTTTTTTTTTTTTAATAGCAAACCAAATCCAGAAACTGCAAAGTTTCTTTTCTGATTGCGTGAGATTCTCAAACCAAGTCCCCATCTGTTTATATTTGTGAGTCGGTGGATGACCAAGAAATCCTTTAACTTTCCCAAGCAGCGATGAGATTGTGTTAAGTGCCATTGTGGTTTATGGGCAATATCCTTTCAGACGAAACGGGAACACACACAACCACTGCTTCCGCCATCTCATCCACACCTCCTCGCTACATGTTTGGATTGGGGTGTTGACATAAGACTTGAAGGTGCTTTTGTTTGTGTGACATGGGCCAAGTATCTTTCAAAGGAGATACGTTTGAATGAACAGAATACGATTGATTGCTGCAGGATCTAACAGGTCCGACTGATTGTGACACAATCAGCTCTGAAGACATTGTCAGGCGTTCAAGTTTGGCCAATCCAAGCGTGCTCATTTCAAAAGAGCCTTATTATGGAAACTTTCACTTACTAATTCGCAGCCGCGGGGCATCTGAGGCCACTCTTGGTTTCTTTTTCTTACATAATCAGTGATGTGAAAAGACCGTATGCCTTCTTGTTAGAGCTTTGGTTCTGCTTTGTTGGATGAGATAAAGCAGAGATATGTTTATTATTGCGAATATTCATTTTGTAGTTCATCATGATATAATGTCATTTATCATGAAAATGAAATCATTTGCGCTCGGCGCGAGCCCGCATTTTGGAGAATAAATAGTTGTGTTTGCCACACCAACTTACGATGGGACGAGAAAGCGAAACATCTTGCAAAACAAACAGAGTTGGCCAATTACGATCGGTTGTGTGCCAAGAGAATGAAATGACCTGGATGAATGAGAACATCTAAAAAGCCTGCAACCATAGTAATTACCCAGGAACTGCTGCATCAATAAAATTGTGGACACACAACTTCCTGCTCAGGTAGTGTCCTTTAATAAGGATCGCAGTCATGTTCTATTGTCTTGTGTGACCAAGGTCGCAAGTGTCAAACCCAGGATGATGCCTTGCTCCAGTTTCTCCTTTCCGGATCCTGCTGAACTGCAGTTTACTATTGTTCATCGTTACTCTCCCATTTCCCCTCTTGAAGTAGCAGATTTCGTGCGTACAGTGAAGATTAGACTCAGTCTATTAAGTATCCTTCCAACAACTCGTATGAAAAACATCCTGAACACCGTTTGCCCATTTTTGGTGAATTAATTCTCAATTCCTTACTCACATCTCGTTGTTTTCCAGCTCCAATTCCAGCTAAAAAGATAATCAATTTAGACATTGATTGTATGAATGTTGTTCGTCACCATGTTGAACAGCTGCGATATTCTGTGTAAACTGCAGTTTGATTATCGTCAATTACATTCCACAGAAACACGTCATCCCTGAGTCTCAAACTGATATTCTGATGGTCTTGGGTGCTGGTAATGGGCTGACTCAGGGAAGGGGTTGGTGTCCTGAGACTGACCTTTATTGCTTCATATCTAATCAAACGATGTCTTTTTCTCTCTTGGGTTACCGTAACTCTACTTGCAAACCCTTAACCCTACTTGCAAATCCTAAAACCTGAACCCCGCTATCCCAAACCCTAACCCTAATCCCCCCAAGGCCTCAAACCTGCAAAACCCTAAACCTGAACCCCACTATCCCAAACCCTAACCCTAAACCCCCCAAGCCCTGAGCCTCTCACCCTAAACCCGAACTCTAACCTCAAACCCAAACCCCCAACCCTCACCCGAACACAACCCCCTCACCCTAAACGCTAACCACTAACCCTAAACTCCGAACCCTAATCTGACAACCCTAATTTGAACCCTAATCCCCCTCACCCTAACCTTAACCCACCTCCTAACCCTAACCCTACCCTAACCACCCTAAAATATTAGGTACACCCCGGATTCTCATCCCTTAGTTTCCCCAACTATAACTGTAAACACGGTAGGTAAACCCCATGTTCTTGTCCCATTGCGTCCCCAGTGGGGCAGCCATATTGGCCAAAATATTACCATAGGTACCCCCTGGATTTCTGTCCCTTGGCATCCTCAATGCAGTGGCCATATTGTACAAAATATTAGGTACACCCTGGATTCTCACATGTGGGGGTCCACAATGGGGTGACCATATTAGCCAAAAATAATAGACACCCGCATTCTTGTGTGCAGGCGTCCAAATGGAGCGGCCACATTGGTCAAAACGTTAGTTTCACACCAGTTTCTTGTCCCTCTGCCTTCACAATGAGGCGGCCATGTTGCCAAAATATTACGTACACCCCGGATTCTTGTCCCCAATGGTGTGGCCATATCGGCCAAATCATTAGGTACACCTCGGATTCTTATCCATCTGGCTCAATATGGCTGCAATATTGGCCAAAGTATGAGGTACATTCTCATGCATTAACGTGGTTCGGCCATATTTCGAAAATATGAAGTACACCCCGGATTCTCATCCCTAGGCTTCCCCAGTGGGTAAGATATATTTGGCAAAATATTAGGTACACCCCGGATTAGCTACAAGAATTTATTGATGTTTCCGTCAAGTAAGATGAACATCATTATCTGCTCTTGTGATAGATCTCGGTAGGCTTACCTAATGTTGTGGACGGTAAATATCTATTATGGTTTAACTATTAAAGCAGACTGTTTTGCAACTTGGCCGGAAAGCCCGTTTTGTTCAACAGTGTGTGCAGTCCAGCCAATGGCTCACATGACATCTCTGTTTTGTCTTTGTTTTGGCACACAGAGCGGAGAGTAGGGGGTAATAGTCCCTGCGCTCTCCTAAACCCTTATAGGTCTTGACATCCCTGGCATGGTACTTGCATTTTTTGTTGTTTTGCAATCCATGTGAAGCCAGATAATGGGAAAAGCGCTAAACCGGGTTTCTTGTAAGGACACGTTGTCACATCCCATTAGTGGCGCAGTTATGAAATATTGCGTACACGGCCGCTTCTTTAACCTTCGGGTCAATCCTCTGCTGTCCTCGCTTCTAATGAAAAGCAGCTTGGGTAGACCACCGGTGGTCCTTTGGATGAATGTTGAAGATCGTACGTTTTGGAAACGTTTACTGTTTACACAAGTTCTGCCAACAATCGGGAGAAAGCTAAGCTCAACGTGACCCAGCAGTGGGGGCGGACGCCGCAATAACTCGATGAAGAATTGAATTATCATTGACAAATGTTGTCTCTTTTTGGTGGGAAAAAAAAATATTACCATCAGAGGAAGTGGTGCTTCGTTTCTCATAAATGAACTCAAAAATGATGGAGAACAGCTGGTTGTGTGGTTGAATGAAAAAAAAGACAGTTTTTAAAAATTTTCATTTAATAAGTGTTATCACCAAGTACAATTGGAGTGCTATTTAAAAAATACCAAAATCTGATGATTTGCAAAAACACTGCAGCTATCTACAAAGTGGAAAAATACCAAAATCTGATGATTTGCAAAAACACTGTGCAGCTATCTACAAGGTGGTCCATTCCTATGTCTTACATACACACTAAATGCATACACACCTCACACCCTGTACAAAATATTAAGCCCCAAATTACCAAATTGTGAGTTAGTGATTTCTTTTTCTTAGTATTTATTTATTTTTGTAGAGTGGGTAATTCCTACCAATAAGTAGTAGGGCCACATGGAAAAGAAAATATATATATATACATGAGAATAAATTGTCAATCTTACAAAATTGTATTTTTTTTCAAAGTGATTTTATAAAAATAGGGTCCGTTACTGTCCAAAGAACGCTATACAAATCGGAAGCCTTTTTCCCACATGATATATATATATTTTTACATTAAAATGTTTTTGTTTTTTGTTTTCATGGCTTTTTTTTTTTTTTTTTTTTTTTTTTTTAAGTATTTATTTATTTTTGTAGAATGGGTAATTTCTACCAATAAGTATTAGGGCCACATGGAAAAGAAAAAATATATATATACACATGAGAATAAATTGTCAATCTTACAAAATTTTTTTTTTTTTCAAAGTGGTAATTTTATAAAAATAGGGTCCGTTACTGTCCAAAAAAACACTATACAAATCGGAAGCATTTTTCCCACATGATATATATATTTTTTACATTAAAATGTTTGTTTTGTTTTTTGTTTTCATTGAATTTTTTTTAATGAATATACCTGTAGAGTCATTTTTATAGATTTTTTTAAAAGTTTGTTTTAAGTCCGTTTTTTTTCTTAGAAAAAGGAATATACAGGGCTCTCGACTGCCACTAAATGGTGGCATTTTGTACGTTTTTATGCAATTCTCAACACTGTATGTACATTCATTAAAAAAAAAAAAAAAAAAGGGTATGAATCATCCTGGTCACAAATAATGAAAATTGCCTTTCCTAACACAATGCCTCTCAGTCTTTTGCCAATGCGTCATGTTATTTCCAGCTAAAAGCTCATTCATCAGTTAAAAATTCACTTGAACTCCAAATGAGTCTTGTCCATGAATCATTTTGGCTTAAAGTGTACATTCACAATCCAAAGCTGCCCAACAGTAGCTCATTACTTGCAGTCCTAAACATCAGTAACATGAAACGGTAAAAAGTCATTTCAAATTTTCGCTATGTGCTACCTGTGTCGAAAACAGAAGACATGAAATGTTTTTAGCGTAATTTACTTTGTACATTCTTTGTCAGTGACATAAGCTGGCAAATTTACAAGTGCCAAACACGATCCATGTGCTCTATGATGAAGATCTTCCAAGCCCCATGAGTCCCGTTCACCTGTTCTTGCTGTTCATCTAGACAAAAAAGTTGCACGATGAGTTTAATTTTTATGAACTTTGCGCTGTTTCATGTACAGTAGTGCCTTGAGATACGAGTGACACGATTTGTGAGATTTTGCCCTGCAGTCGGATCACTTAATGCTCACGTATAATGGGAAGCACTATAGACTGGCTAACAAATAGCATTGGCGTCACCGTCTCACCACACATGAAGCAACACATATTTTGAGACAAACGGTGAAGTAACACCTGTAGACATAAAATATAAAAATTCTTACTGACATATCCTTTGGCTTCTGCGAAGACTGACTAATATTACTGCGGCTTAATGAGGAGTTGTGACTGTCTCCTCACCAGATGGAACAACTCCATATCCATTGAACCGAAGCAAGAAATGTGGCGAGAACAATTTCATTTCGTTACATGATATCAATTCTGTATTTTTATGATGTACAATGATATGGATGTGCTATTTTTCTTATGAAAAACACGTTACAAATATTCTTGTATGGAATATGGAATGGATTCATGGCATTTATATTCATTTCAGTGGAGAATGATGATTTGAGATACGTTTCAAGTTACGAGCGTGGGCACGGAACAAATGCAACTCGTATCTGAAGGCACCACAGTAGTTGGCTGGATTTGTACCTAATTCTGAAGCCCCATTCTCAACCTCACAACCGCTTTCAACTCCTGGACCCAAAGTTGGTCTGGGTCGGTGCAGACGGTGCGTTGCCTCTTACGTCCAGACCTCTTCTTCATGGTAAACCTGCCAACACACACACACATACACAGGTTTCAGCATCTTCCAGCATTTTAAATCGTTCCTCATCAAGAAGGCCTTTTGTTTTCCATTTATTGGTGCCAGATCATTATGAGTCGCAATTGTGCATCGGAAATGAAAACAATGAGCTTACGGACTCACACAACAGCTCTGATGTTGCAATCGCCATCTGTTTCCTGCATCCTGTAGCTCTCAATGTTTTTCTTTGCCTTCTCCCCCATCCTTTGCACGTGGCCCAGGCAGCAGTTACCGTAAGAACCTGCGCAGGGAAGGCAAAGGTCACACGGTCACACGGGAGGATAATCAGCCTCATTTGAGAGAAAGGGGCTCTCGGCATGCGGCGCTTGTCACGTGAGTGTCATTTTCAACTGATGAATCGGGTGGCTTCTGGTTGGAGAAAGCTGGGGTGGAGACCATCAGACAATTTTGCAATCTTTTTTTTTCCCACCATTCTAAAGGAGCTTGGTAACTTCTGGCATCATCTTAACTACTTGATTGTAAATGATACCATTTAAAAAATAGTACAGTTAAAAGATGCATGCATACAATCAACATTAAAGAATGAAATTATTGATTAGAATTACATTATTATTTTAAAAGCATCAAAAATAAGCTTTAAATATGATTTGAATCATAAACAATTTAGTATGCATGTTTCACCAGTGACTGGACATTGTGATTTCCTAGGACTGCTTTAAAAGTGATCATTTGAACGTGCTAACACTCACAATCGTTTAAAGAAATAAAATGGTGCACTTTTAATGTGGTTTATTGAGAAGTGATTAACATGATCAGTGTCATCCCATTGACGAATTTCACTCATGAATTACATTGATCAAGAGCAAATTTTAATCATAGAATGATTATATTATCGTTTTACAAATACAGGTATATTTTTAATGAAAACCTGATGTGCTAGACAGAAAAATCATGAAAAACATAACTAAAGGTAATTTGAACATTTCTTATCATATAACTGTGTATCAAACCCGTAACCTTTCATAACAATCAGTACCCAAGAGCAGCTCTGTTTCCCCCCAAAAACGGTGGCCGTTGAATTTGATATACATTTAGAAAAATGATCAAAATATTTAAATGCTATTTTCACTCTGCAATTTCCAGCTGAAATATTTGAAAAGATTCCCTCTCAAAAATGCCCTTTTACACTGTACGTGCAGCAACCGTAATTTGGATGTGCACCAAATTGTGCATCTCGAGAGATCGCCAACGCCCAAATGTGGTGTGCATTGTTCACTCAAAAATTTAAGAAAAAAAAAACATGTTTTCGATAAGTGAAACCATCCATCCATCGATTCTCATTAGCGCTTATCCTCATTTGGGTCTTGGGCGAGCAGGAGCCTATCCCAGCCGAGTGGGCGAGAGGCAGGTCACGCCCTGGACTGGTCGCCAGCCAGTCGCAGGACATGTACGGACAAGCGAGCATTCACGCTTACATTCACACATTTGGAGAATGTCGAGTAGCCAAATTCAGATCAATATATGAAAGGATTAAATGGAAAATTTTCAGCTCAAATTTAAAATGACGAGCTTTTTTTTTTGCTTTCGGAAGACATGCACAATGCCAGTCAAAAATCTGGACATGCTTCCTTACGCAATCGAATGAGAAAAGGTGTCACTACTTTCTGCAATGATGAAAGTGAAACGGACATCTGTGATGCATCTTGAAAGTTAAGCTCTCAAGAAAAATGCCTTCACTTAGCCAGAGCAAATTTTACAAACTATAAAACAATGCATTGGCTCTGTTTGAACAACAACAAATATCCCATGCACAGTGAACCCCATTTCAAGATCTTTATTTTTTGCCTTTTTTTTTTTGGTCTTGTTTTGGAAAAGAGCGCTTCATAAATATGTCCTCCACTTCAAAGTTTAAATTCTAATGAGCTCAGTAATCCCACATCACAGCCCGAGGGCATTTCCCCTCCAATTTATCGAAGAATGTGAATGACAAAAAACAGATGCAGTGTCAAGAGCGCCTTATTCAAAACAAAACTACTCGTGAATAAACACACTCATCAACTGACGCCATTATCAAGAAGTGACCCCGTGATGCTGAACAAAGCGTTTACTTCTGCTGATAACGTGCCCAGACGCTGCATCTGCCAGCCAATAAATCCTTTTGTCGTTACGCGCCTTTGAGCGTCGCCCGTGCTTGGACTAACCTTGTGCCACACACAGTGTGGTGCAGATGAGCAGCACCAGGAACAAAAGACCTTGGAATTTCATGTTCGCCGTCGCTGTTCCGCTCGGCTGTGCACGGATAAAAGACAAAGTTGGATTAAGGAAAAAAAAAAAAGACAAAAGCAATGCAGCTACTGTGGTAGAAAACATGATCATAAAGAACAAAAATGCTCATTAAAACGGTTCGTTTCTTTTCAGGTTTCCAGCGTGCAAATTCAATGCAATTGTGTCAAATTGTGGATGGATCAACTCCCAGTTTGAGGAACATACCTGCTGATTGTCATTCACTGCTTCACACGAGGTGACCTTCTTCCCAACTCTTGCTTGACAACTGTGATGCCGTGTTTGGGCTTTGCACTCTTATTGT